GGTTCCTGTTTACTAAGCACCTGGAATATTCCAGGCACAATGACAAAGGCTCAGCGTGGCATAACCCACCTAATCCTAAAAACACCACCCCAGGAGAATTGTTGACTGTATTACATGGGCAGAAACAGACCCAGAGGGGTGAAGTCACCTGCCTAAATCACACAGTGTAGTGTTGGGGGTTCTACTTCTGGTCTGCCTTCACTGCCCTGGGCTTATCCACTACAGCCCTGCCAGATTACAAGGTTTGATTGAGGGCAGAACTGAGGTTACCATGGTTACAAGCATGTCCTCAGTCATGGCCTGACACAGAATAAGTACTCCAAAAATATAGTTTGGGTTGAAGGAAGTTGATTGAAAGTATGTTTCTCTTTCCTTTAATCATAAGCAGTATGGGAAGCAGTATCTTCTTTATCTCTCTTTTTTTCTTAGATCTGATGGTTAATCTGGGCTGTCTTAGATATCATGCCCTCAGCTCACATGCCCCCCTCCCCACCTCCAGGAAGCCCTCTCTGATACCCTAGGTCTGGCCAGTCACCTTCTCTGGACTCCCACAACCCTGTGGGCTCCCCCATCCCAGCCCTGATCCCTCCGAGCTATCACTACCTGGTGATGGGTCTGTCTCCTCCCAGTGACCTGGGAGCTCCATGCAGGCAGCATCTGGGTCACTGCTGTGTTCCCGGCAAAACCAACATGGAGCCAAACACATAGCAGGGACTTGGGGACTGTCTGTTGCCTGATTAGGAGGATGCACGTGAGAAGGAAGGAAGCGGGGAGGAAAGGAAGAAAGTAGCTGGGTCTTTAAGGTCAGATGGGATTTCAAAACGAAGGGAGCAGGAAGCGAGGGGTATTCAGGGCGGTGGGAATGGCTTGAGCAACAATCGGAGGCAGGATGGCAGCAGTGTGTTCGGGGAACAGCTCGTACTTAGGCTCCATTGCAACAGCAGAAGGGGTCAGGAGGGGAGAAGGGAAGCTGAACAGAGGAAGGAGCCTGGAGACAGGAAGCTCTGAACTCAGGACCAAACTCCTGATTGCTATCAGGAAAGCCCTGGGGAGCCATGGAAGACTCTGGAGCTGGGCACCTTCAAATGTTGGTCACAGCTGGGCCCTGGAGGCAGATTCTAGAGGATGAGGAAACACTGAAGACAGAAAGGCTCCAGAGGAAGGCAGATGAGGAGGAATGGATCCACACATTATAGGGGTGAAAATGCCTGGGTTTTCAACTCAGTCAGAACTGAGTTAGAATCTAGGCTCCGACCGGACGAGGCCGACTCTAAGCAAGTGATCTCACCTATCTAGGCCTTAGTGTCCCCTCTGTAAAATGGAGATAATAATCCCAAACTTACAGCGCCATTATAAAAATTGAACAAGTTAACACATATACAGCACTGAGAAAAAGTGCCTAGCGTTCAGTAAAAGTTGGAATTTGTGTCTTCCAAGATCTGTGACTTTGGATGAGTTTCTGTGCTTCAGTCTCCTCATCTGTAAAATGGGGATAATAGTATCTACCTCACAGGGCTGCTGTGAAGTTTAAATGTGTTGATACAAGCAAAGAGCTCAGCACAGAGACTTCCCTGGCGGACCAGTGGTTTGGACTCTGCACTCCCAGTGCAGGGGGAGCCGGTTTGATCTCTGATTGAGGACCTTAAATCCCTTGTGCAGCAAGCTGCAACCAAAAAATAAATAAATCAGTGAAAGAGCTTGGCACAGGGCTGGGCATGAGCGAGTGAGAGCTGTTGCTTTTTTTTTTTTTTTTTTTTTTGAGAGTTGTTATTTTTTTTCTTTTCTTCATTCGCTTCAGCTCAGCTGCTCTGAGATGCCAAGGAGGTGAGAGAATAGGGAGAGGGAACAGCAACAGCAGAGCCCCAGAGGGTCAGCGCAGGCAAGCTGGGGCAGGTCTGTCTCTTACATCTGCGGCCACATGTGTGAGCATGTTCAGAGAACGAAGCATGTGGGGTGAGCAGGGCTCAGGGCAGACTCCAGCCAGGGGCCCCAGGACAATGGGATGGTCCAGCAGGCTGACCCATAGGAGGCTCTCATACCTGCCTCTGCACTGACCCTCCCTCCCTGAACCTGCCCTGCCAGCCCTCCTGATTCACCGGCAGAGAACCGCACCCAAGCTTGAGGATGGAGAATGTAAACAAGAGATTGCAGGAGCACTCTGGGGAGCTGGGGACAGCGCAGTGGGGAGATTGCAGAGTCCTTGGCTGGGGTCCCTGAGCATTTGGGGTTCACACAGCCCTTTGAGAATGATAAGAAAAAAATACTGGGTGCTTGCTGCCTACAGAAGTGAATGAGCTTAGGGGTGTTGAAGGCTGATGATTCCTTAAGGCAGCTACGGGCCCCAGACTAAGCAAAGTGGGGTAGAAAGTGCACCCTTTGTCTCCCTAAACTAGTATTCTTTAAAGTCTGGGGGGATCACACACTGTCCAGAGGATCCAACAGAAGTCACAGACCCTTGCTGCAAAAGCATGTGTATATACTCACAGGACTCACACAACTTTTAGGGGTTCCTGGGTGCCATGAAGTCGGCCAGCAGCCATCCATTTTAGACCCCAGGACTGGAGGCGGGGGGAAGGAGAGAATGAAGAGGAAGGCACCTGGAGAGCTAGAAACCCTGCCGTCAGAGGGAAGAGGTTGGTGGATGGAAGAGGTGCCTGGAGATAAAACTGCTGGTGGAGTTCTAGAGAACTTCACAAAGGAAAGGCGGGGGTGGGGGAGTCGGGGGTGGGCTATGGGGCCTGTGGGGGTCTGGCTCAAGGGCGGGGTGGGTCCCACTCACCCCAGACCTGTCCTCGGGGTCGCTGGCACCTCCGCCCCCAGCCACCACGTCATCCTCAGACTCGTCGAAAGAGGAGGCAGAGGAGAAGCCCCCACTGCCCGCCTCAAGCTGGGAGGGAGGGCCCCCTGGCTGAGCCTCAGGCTCAGGGGTCTCCGGAGTGATAATGAGGCGGGGCACAGGGGTCAGGGGGCTACCCTCCAGGTGAGAGTACAGGTGAGTCACCAACTCCCTGTGTTCTGGTTCCTCTAATGAGTCATCTTGGTTGGGCTCCCCCAAAAAGCAGTCTGTCCTAGGCTCTGTCTGGGGTCCGTCAGTGCCGGGCTGTGACCACAAGCCATCGGTATCTTGTGTTGGGAAACCACCGGGGTCAAGCTGCTTCCAGGCTGCTTCAGTGTCCTGTTGTATCTGGGAGCCATCAGCGTGAAGCTCCGTCCAGGAGTCTTCGGTACCTTTTTGCGTCCTGGAGCACTCGGTGAACGGTTCTTTCCAAGAGCTGTCAGCACCCGGCTCTGTTGAGAGAGGGACCCCCTCTGGCTGGGTCCGGACGCTTGACCTGTTCTGGTGGGTGCAGAGGTTATCAGCCCTGGGCTTGGCCCTCTCTGGCTGGGTCTGTGACCCATGTATCTCTAGTTCTGTCCAGGGCCCGTCAACCCCTGGCTGTGCCCAGAGGTTAGCCCTCTGGGGCTGAGAATGGAGGTCAGTCCTGTGTGGATCAGCCCAAAAGCCATCTGTCCCGGTCTCCGTCCAGTCACCGGCTGTCTCCAGCTCTGACCAGTGGCTGCTCCCTCCTGGATGTGTCCGGAGAATGGACTTGCCTGGCTCCGTCGTTGGGTTGGGCCGCTCCGTCTCCGCTCCGAGGCCAGCTGCTTCAGGCTCAGCCCGTCCGTCGGCCCCCGACTCAAACCCGAGGCTGGCGCTCTGGGACTCGGTGTGGAGGCTGGACTCCTCGGTCCGGGCCCGGGGCCCGCCCCCTTCCGGCCGCCCCACCGAGCCCCCAGCTCCGGGCCCAGGTCGTTGCTGCCCTGGCTGCCGCCGCCGCCCCCCTCGCGGCGCCGCCAGTCCCATGCGGGCTGCCGCCGGCAGCGCCTGGGCCTCCGCCTCGCTCAGGCTTCCCCGGCACGGGCAGCGCCTCATGCCCTTTCGCAAGGTTCGGGCTTCGACCGGGCCCAGCCCCTCCTGTCCCTTTAAATCCCACGAGGGGTGTGGCTGGGGAGCCCCAATTCGTGGGTTCCGGCCCTCGGAGCTCCAGCCCGCCCAGCCACGGAGGGGTTAACCGATACTCCCTCCTCCATCCCGGGGAAAGCCCCGAAGCCCCGCCTCGCCGGACGTGACGTAAGGGACGAGCCTTGTCTGGCTCCTCCCACCTCCTTTGGCTGGGAGGACTGAGAGTCCCTGACAGGTCGTGTTTGTGGCGCTGGTATCCTGATCGCGGCCGAGTAGACCCCTCGCTACACCCCGCAATTAGTCCAAACTCGCCACGCCCTCGACTGGCTAGTTTAGTCTCCCTGTAACCCCCTGCGACGAGTCCAGCAGTCCGCTCATTCTTCACGCTGCGCCGGGAAGGACTTTCAGAAACTTGGGAATTCCATTTGCGTTGGTTGAGACCCGCCTCTGCTAGTTCCTAGCCGCGTCCCCTTGAGGGAGTAACTTCCGCTCCCAACCCCCAGTCTGAGCCCCAGACTCAGTTTTCTCATCTGTAAAATGAGGATCTGTTACTTTATTGTTTGGAAAAAGGTGTGTTCAGTGTCACAGGAACCAATTACTTTTACCAACTGGGAAATTGTGGCCCAGAGCAGTGAAAGAAATTGTCTTAAGGCCAAATCCTGGTTCCAACACTGACTTCCAGGATTACCTTTCCCAACAGACTTGTCTCTTCTGAGCCTCAGTTTCCCCATCTGTAAAAAGGGTTTTTATGGGGATTTTTAATTTATTTACAATGACACATTTGTGTACTTGCTTTGTCCCAAGAGCTGCACTTACCATTATATACCCAAAATCTTAAAAGGTTGGATCATCGTCATCCCCATCGCACCGTCAAGGAAACAGAGGCACAGAAAGGCAAAGCAGTGAGTCCAGATCACACATCTGAGAATTCCCTGGTGGTCCAGTGGCCAAGACTGCACTCCCAATTTAGGGGACTCAGGCTTGATCCCTGGTCAGGGAACTAGATCCCACATGCCACAACTAATGAGTTCACCTGATGCAAAGAAGATGGAAGATCTTGTGTGCTGTAACTAAGATCCTGTGCGGGCAAAGAGGTAAAAAAAAAAAAGGATCATCCATATAAATTGCATAGATTTGAACCTTCAGTTCAGTTCAGTCACTCAGTCCTGTCCAACTCTTGAGTGACTAGTGAGTGACTCCTTGTAGCATACCTGAGCTGGCTCTGTTTACCTCCCAGACCTCATTTTATCCTTTTCGCCCCTTTCACTCTGCCATTAACCTCTTTCCTACTTTTCTTCCATCGCAGGGACTTTGGACTGGTTGTTCCCTCTGCCCGAAACATTCTTCCCTCAGCTATTTCAATAGTTCCTTCCCTTACCTCCATCAGATCTTCACTCAAATGACGTCTGCTCAATGAGGCCTTTCCTGACTGCCCTATGTATTTATTTTTGGTCCGCACCAAGTGGCACGTGGGATCTTAGATCCCAACCAGGGATCAAAGAACAAGTGCCCCCTGCAGTGGAAGTGAGGAGTCTTAACCACTGTACCATCAGAGAAGTTCCCTGAACCACCCTATTTAAACGCACAGTCTTCCCTCCTCTCCCTGTCCTTCCCAGGTTTATTTTTCTCTTTAACAAGTGTCACCTAATTACATATACTCATTTATTTATTTATTACATATACTTATTTATTGTGCCCCTCACCAGAAACCAGTACCAAGAAGGCAAAGATTGTCTGTATTGTTTCTTGCTGTGTCCCCAGAGCCTAGAAAAGCATATGGTAAGCACTTCACAGAAATTTTGAAAAGAATGGTTTTACTATAAGAAATTTCTCTCATGTATAGAGCTCTTGTTCTCTACTGGCTCTGTGCCAAGCTCTTTACAGACACTATTTCACTGCATTTCTCTCTCACTAACCCTAGAGGGAATGCCATGACCCCACTTTACAAATGGGGATACTGAGGCTCAGAGCTCTGCCAGCTTGTAGCCTTTGCTTGTAGTCACCAGGCTAGCTAATATGATCTCATGTACGTGAGGCATGTGGTACCCAGCTTGGTACCATCAGTCACAGCTTTGTAGGATGAGTTATTGTCACAGGTGCTTTTTATGTATTTTGCCCCTTGGGGTGAGCTGCCACCTAGCTCCTGAGTCAGACCCTTGTGTCTGATACGGTACAGGGGGTGGTTTCTGTCTTGAAACTGAATCACCTGGAAAGGGTGTTGGGCACAGACCCAGGGCTCTAAAATGAGTCATCTCTTTACAGACCAATGAGAATTCATAGCAGGGTCCCCCTAGTGCATTATACAGGCTGGGAAGCTGAAATTCAGAAAAGCCTAAAGTTGTCCAGAGGTCGAATAGCACAGGGACAGAGACTGGGAGGTCAGATTCCTGACCAAGGGGGATAGACACGGTTGCCGGGGGAGACTGTTCTGTGCGGTGTCATATCCCTTCTTCAAGTGGTAGGAGAGATGCCCCAGCCAGCTCCTTCTATTCCAGACTGAGAAGAGGGGTGAGTCAGCCTATTGTGGGGGGAGCATGCTTGAAGCCTGTCCTCCTTCCCCCATCAACAACACACACACCCAGATGGGCTGGGAGCTGGTTTTCTGGGATGCCGCGGCTCCTGAGTCAACACAGGGAATCTTGGCTGAGTGTGTTCTGGGAAATGTCAGGCCTACAGGAAACAAAGAGCTCCCACTCACACCATCCTGCAGGTGGGTGGGGAGCCAAGAGAGCAGGGTGTATGGGGAACAGGGGGGCCCAGGTGTGCAAAGGGCTGAATGTGAGGGAGTTTTCACATGGGGCGGAGGGCGGGGCGGTGGCGGCGGCAGGGAGGCGGGAAGTTGGTGAGCAAGGAAGGGAGATTTTATGTGCAAGGGAGGCTGGGTACCAGGATATGGCTATTTGAAACAGAGAGTGAACTTGCAAAGTGGAAGGGCTCCATGTGCAAGGGAAATGTTTGCTGGGGACATAGGTGTTCAAAGGAGAGATGCGTTGAACCTACTGAGAGTACAAATAAGAGGTTGCCGAAATGTTCACGCAACGGAGAAGTGAGTTTCTACAGGAGAGGAAAGTTTGCAAAAAAGACGTGTAGAAAACTGAAAGGTCTGCTGCATACAAGGTTCTTTGAGGTGAGTGGAAGGCATAAAATGGCACGTGCGAGCTCCTGTAGTGCCCCTAACCACCCTTAGGCCCCGCCCCGTCACGCACAGCGGGGCGTATTTTGTGCCAGTCAGTGACCTACTCCTCCATCATTGGCTAACTGACCGGACGGGGCGGGCGTGAGGAGACTCCCGGAAGCGCGAGGCCCCCAGCGCGTAGCTGACCCCGAGCGAGTGGGTGCTTAGCAACCAGGGGAGGTGCCCAGTAACGGGGTGGGGGGAAGACTGGCGCAATTGTGGGTGCCTAGCAACAGAGAGGAAGGCGGTGCCTAGCTACGAGGGGGTACTCAGAGCAGTGGAGAGGTAGCCCTGGAGGATCTGTGGGTGTCTAGCAACGGGGGAGGACCCTAGCAACGGCGGAGATGGGACTGGGGAAAGTGGTTTGGAGAGGGGCGCGGGAAGAGCCATGGGTTCTTAGCAATGAGAGAAGGAACCAGGAGTAACTGGGGGCCTATTAACAGGGAAGGAAGTCTTTGGCGGGTGGGAGCCTTGGGGTAGACACGGAGGAACGTGAGGCAAAGGAGAGATCAGTCCTACAACTCCTACCCATATAGTCCCTCCTCTTCTTCCCCAGACAATGTGGCAGGAGGTGGGGGGCCTACTGCGTGCGACCTGTGAACAGCTGGGCCGGACTATTGGTCTGCCTTATGGGGCCCTGGGGCCAGGGCCCCGCTGCTGGGTAAGAGTCTGGGGAGGGGTTTCCAAGGGGGAAGAGGCTGAAGGCAGCTTCAGGGGGCCAAAGGACAGGGAGGGGTCTAAAAGGGCCATGCAGATACCTTGTCCTCCACTCCTTACCAGTGTTCACGTCTCTTGCAGGGGCCATGTAGGGGTTCTTGGGCCCAAAAACTTCATCAAGATGGGCCTGGCAGGGGCCTGGGTGAGGAGGACATTCGCAAGGCCCGGGAGGCCCGGATCAGAAAGACGCCCTGGCCCCAGGTATCATTGGTACCAGTCAGAAACACCCCCATGAAGGCAGCTGGCCTCCGGAGCTTGGGGAAGGGTGTGGTGGCAGGTTGGTTGGACTGCCTGGGTACTCTGTCCGTCTTTTCCCTCTCAGACCTTCTTCTCCCCACCAGCTGAGTGACCGTTCTCGAGAACGCAAGGTGCCTGCCTCCCGCATCAGCCGCTTGGCCAACTTTGGGGGTAGGTGTGACTGTGGGAGACTGTGACCTAGATCAGAAGAGGTGACATTTACAGAATGAAGCAAGGGAGAGAGTGAATCAGAGAGAGGAGAGGGAGAGATGGAAAGAGAATGAAGGCAAGGGCCTCTAAAACCAAGAGAAACAGAGAGGAATGTTGTGTTTATTGAGAACCTGGAATGTGCAGGGCCCCCTACACGTGGTCTCTGCAGTGAATCAGTGAGTGAGTGTTTCCATTCTATAGAGGAATTGGACGCTAAGGGAGGTAAACAGGACTAAACCCTGGGTCCTGCACCAGGATTATTCAGACTTCAGGTCACAACCTGCATGAAATAATTTAGTAGGTTGCAACCAGCATTTAAAAGAAGAATGGAAAATATGACTGCAGATGTAGAGTCAGGGAGAAGTCTTGTTTCATGAAACATTATGTATCACTGGTCTCTATCGGTTATAATGCAAATGTCTTCTTGACTATGAGTCATGGTTCAAGTTTTAAAGATACTGATTCACAGTGTAAAGAAGGAGTCAAATGCACTGCTTAGAGCTTTGGCACGAGGCTGCCCGGGGTTCAAGGGGATGATTCTTATGCATCCTCACTTTGTGAGTCTGGATAAGTTACTTCTCTGAGCCTCGATTTCCTTTTCTGTAGAATGGAAGTATTTCTGTAAAGTTTCTCTCATGAGGGTGTGAGGACAAAATGAGTCAGTGCATAAAAGACACTGGGAATGGTTTTTGACATGGAGAAAGTGCTCAGAAAATGCGAACTATGATTATTTATGGAAATGGTGAGAGTACAAGAGGCCGAGTGACTTAAGATGTCTTTGAGGACAAGGAGACAGAGGAGGCAGAGGAAATCAGAGCTGGAGAGATAACATCAAAAGGAGGAACTGAGAGGAGGCCTAGACAGACATATTGGGTGGAGGGAAGGGCAGAGATGGAGAATAAAATGACTTAGAAAAGGAGAGGTGAGCATGAAGAAGAGAAACAGGAGTCATACGAAGACAGAGCGACCTGGGGGGAGAAGGGGATCGTTTCCAGACCTTCTTACTCTTGGCTGTATGCTGGAATCATCTGGGATGGATGCCCAAATAAAAAGAATTCTGAGGGACTTCCCTAGCAATCCAGTGGTTAGGACCTTGCCTTCCAATGCAGAAAGTTTGGGTTTAATCCCTGGTCTAGGAGCTAAGATCCCACGTGTCTTGTGGCAAAAAAAAAAAACCTGAAACATAAAACAGGAGCAATATTGTAACAAATTCAATAAAGACTTTAAAACTGATCCACATCAAAAAATCTTAAAAAAAAAAAAAAAAAAGCGCTAGGGACTTCCCTGGTGGTCCAGTGGTTAAGAATCAACGCAGGGGACTTATGTTCGATCCCTGGTCGGGAAACTAAGATCCCACATGCCAAGGGCTCGTCTCAGGGCAGTTTAACCAGAACCTCAGTGGTGGGGCCTGGGCATTGCATTTACAAAAGCTCCTCACATGACTCTGGGTGCAGCCAGGGGTGAGAAACACTGACCTGGGAGACAGAGACAAGGAGAGAGGGATGAAAACAGAACAGGAACCTCAAGCAGGGAGACAGTGAGTAAGAGACTGATGTAGAGTCAGAGGGATGCAGAGAGTTGACTACAAAGAGATGGGAGACAGGGGTACATAGAGGGAGACAGAGAGGAAAGAGGGTCAGGGAGGTGGTGAGGGGATGGGGAAGAAGATCGCCCCAGGGCAAGCGAGCACTCAGGCCTTCCTCTCCCTTCCCCAGGACTGGCTGTGAGCTTGGGGCTGGGAGCACTGGCTGAGGTGGCCAAGAAGTCCCTGCCTGGAGGAGGTGTACAATCAGGTAAGTGAGCCATGTGCCCGGGTCCACTCCCTGGCTTTGCTGTGTGTCCTGGGGCAAGTGGCTTCACCTCTCTGAGCCTCCGTTTCCTCATCCAGAGAATGGAGCCATTGATGACACAGCCACCTCTTTGGGTCATGGTGGAGTGCTCAGAGCAGGTGAAGCTGCTGTCAGAGTGGTGATGGGTAGAAGCAGGTCATGGGAGAGAAAACTGTAAGCCATCCACAGTGGAGTTCCTAACTGTAAGCAGAAGAGGAAGCACAAAAATAGGAGAGCTACTGAGAGTCTGCGACCAATAGAGATGGACTGAGTAGTGTAGAGATCAGCATTTGTGGGTATGATTCCCCAGCATGTCGATGTCTTGAAACAAAAACAGGGGTGGATATTCTAAATGCAAAAGAGACTAGAGAGACAATAATTGACAAAGGGAATGTGTGAGCCATGATTGAATGTTTGAAAAAAATTACTATAAAAGACTTTGGGGGACAATTGGGAAAACCAGAATATGACTGGGTAGTAGATATTTGAGAATTAGTGTTAATTTTCTTTTTTTTTAATGTCAAATTTATTGACTCTATTATTAATTTTGTATTTTTTGGTCATGTGGCATGTGGAACTTCCCTGGCCAGGGATTGAACCCATGCACCCTGCATTGGAAGCATGGAATCTTAGCCACTGGACCATCAGGGCAGTCCCATTGTTAATTTTCTTGGATGTGATTTTGGCATGGTGATTGTGTAGGGGATTATTCTTATTCTTAGCACAGGTTGAGTGCAAATCAGTCAGCAAAAATAATGGTCAGTGTCTGGGTACAGTTAAAGCAGGTGAAGGAGCATGTCAAAACTTTGAATCAGGTGTGTGGGTATTCACAGGATTGAGTGCATCCTTTCTGTCTGTTTGGATCTTTTTCAAAGCAAAAAGTTGGGAGTAGGTGGAGGAACAGTCTGGCTTTAAGGTAAGCCCAGACTGAATTTACGACCTGCTTTGCCACTTCTGTGCTGTGTGACCTAGAGTCAGGCAAGGTACCTTTCTGAATCTCTGGCTTCCTCACCTTGAAATTTAAGGCATTGGCTTTTCTTACTTCTGGAGTGATTGTAGAGATTCAGCCAAAGAATCCATAGAAACACTTACAATTCTGCCTGGCACAAGGTGAGCCCTCAATAAAGAGCTCAATAACTGTTATGAAATAAGTAAAAGCTTAATAAACACTTTATTGAATAATAGAATTTGCATATAGAACCACACACATCTAATTGTACAGCATGGGCCGTTTTCACAAAGTGGACGCATCTGTGCACCCGTATCAAAAAACCCTAAAACAAGCAGTTCTCAAACTTTTTAATCTTAAGATCCATTTACACCTTTAAAACTGAAGAATGGATAGACCAAATGTGTTATATCCATACAGTGGGATTTTATTCAGCCATGAAAAGGAATGAAGGACTGATCCATGCTATTGTGTGGTTGAATCTTGAAATACTATCCTAAGTGAAAGAAGCCAGACACAAAAGGCCACATATTTTATGATTCCATTTATCTAAAATGTCCAGAGGAGGGAAATCTACAGAGATAGAAAGTAGATTTGTGGTTTCCAGGGGCTCAAGGGCAGGTGGGTGAGGGAAATGGGAGGGAGTAACAGCTCACAGGCTTCCCTGGTGGCCCAATGGTAAAGAATCCGCCTTCCAATGCAAGAGCCACGGGTTTGATCCCTGGGAAGACCCCCTGGAGAAGGAAATGGCACCCCACTCCAGTATTCTTGCCTGGAAAATCCCATACACAGAGGAACCTGGCGGGCTACGGTCCATGGGATCATAAAAGAGTCAGACACGACTTAGCAAGTAAACAACAACTGCTAATAGGTATGGGTGTCCTTTTGCGGGTGAGGAAAATGTTCTGTAATTGATCATGGTGATAGTTGCACAACTGAAAATACTAGAAGTCACTGAACTGTGTGCTTTTTTTTTTTTTTTAACTGTGTGCTTTAAATGGGTAAATTATATCATGTGTGAATTATATCTCAATAAAACCATTACAAAATAGAATGAGAACCCCAAGAACTTGTTTATTTTGGTTATATTTACTATATGTGCTGTACTGGAGATTAAAACTGAAAAATTTGGGAAGATTCCCTGGTAGTCCAGTGGTTAAGACTCTGTGCTTTCACCACCAATGGCTTGGGTTCAATTCCTGGTTGAAGATCCCATTTTATTTTGGCACAGTTTTGCCAAAAAAAATAAATTGAAATTTAAAAACTGAAAAATGTTGTAAACAAGAATATACACACTCACTCCATCTGTTATCAGAGCAATTACAGCATCACAAGTCATAGAACTTCTAGAAAACTCCACTGAACATTTATAGGCTAATAAGGGTAAAAAAGAGCAAATAATGTATTGATATAATTAGGAAAGTTCTGTTCTCACAGAATCTCCTGGAGGGTCTCAGGGCCCCCAGACCACACTTGGAGAATTGCTGTGCTGATTCTCCAGAAGCTCTTCTGTACCCATTCTGGCACGTCCTTCCCACATCAGGGATCCCCACTGTCTTGGCTTCTGACCCTCGAGATTAGTTGTGTCTGTTTTTGCTCCTTGCACCCGTGTCATCGGACAGTGTATCCTTGCGTGTGTCTGGCCTGTTTCGCTCAGCATTCTTTTTAAGAGGTGCGTCCGTGTTACCGTGAGCTGTCATAGGTTTTTTATTCAACACTGTCCTCATCACCCCGTGACTCTTCCAGAGTCCCTTTGTTGTTTCTACTGATGGTCCTTTGGGTTGTTTCCATTTTGAGACTGTTAGGAACAGTGTTACTGTGAACCTTCTTGGGGCATCTGTTGGTGGACACATTTTTGCATTTCTCTTGGGGATATACCTCAGAGGGAAATTGGGTACAGTTGTATGTTTCAGTGGAAACTTCCCAACTGTTTCCCAAAGGACTTGGGCTGTGGCACAGTCACCAGCAGTGTCAGCATTCCAGTGTTCTACATCTTTGCCAACACTTGGTATTGTCATCTTTTTTTAGCCATTCTGGTGTCTGTGCAGTGGTGTCATAATGATTTTCTTGGTGGTTGCCGTACTAACGATGCTTCTCTCCACCCCAGAGGGAGGCTCCCAGCCAGGCTCCAGCCTTTTCCTGTCGGAGGCCAACGCCGAGAGGATTGTGCAGACCTTGTGTACAGTTCGGGGGGCCGCCCTCAAAGTTGGCCAAATGCTCAGCATCCAGGGTACAGCAGCATGATGACTCTCGACTCCTGACCCCTGACCTCAGCCTCACCCCACCCCACCTACCACCAAGCCCCAGCTTCAGATACTCCCTCCCCTCTCACTGGCTTCCTTCTCCCCGCTTTCCTCCAAGACAACAGCTTCATCAGCCCCCAGCTGCAGCGCATCTTCGAACGGGTCCGTCAGAGCGCCGACTTCATGCCACGCTGGCAGATGCTGGTGAGTGCTCCGAGCGGAAAAGACTGGTGAGGGAGGCCTGCCCCACCTGCCTGGCCCTCCTAGCTTCATGGCTCAGCTCCCTGTCTGACTCAGTGTTCCCATTCGTTACATGGGAATCACTAAAGCCCACATCTCAGAGGATAGTGGTAATGAGTCAGTGAGAAGAAGGCACAAAGCACTTCGTCCGGTTCCTGGCAGGCTCAGGGCTCTGAAAGAGGCTGTGAAGCACTGTGATCAGAGGCCAGACTTTGGGAGTTCAAACCCCAGCTCTGCCACTTGCTACCTGTGCGGTCAGACACGTGGCCTGCCCTTTCTGCTTCAGTGACCTCATCTATGATTGGTGGTAGTTCTTAACAATGCCCACATCATGGGGTTACGGGAACCAGTGTGTGCAAAGCACCTGGGAGGGCCCCTGACGCACCACGAGTGACATGCAAATGTTCGCTGTTCTTATTACCATTTTTTAATTAAAGGAGAGTGTGTCTGTAAATAGGTTGGCACAGCGCCTGGCACTGAGTAACTGCCCAGGACATGAGCTGTTCTAATCACTGGGGCAAGGGTGTGGAGTCCAGGATCCAGCCGCCTGCCTTCTGAGCACTGGTCTCTCCCTCTCCATATGACTCTGGGCAATTACTGCCCATCTCTGAGCCACTCTGCACCGGGCCCAGCCCACAGGAAGAGCTCTGTAATTTTAGCTCTTTTTTACCATGTTAACTGTAGAGTTAATAAAACAATATACGGGTATATGGGTATAATGGAGGACAATTATCAATCTTGAGGTGTAGAAGTGTTAGTTGCTCAGTTGTATCTGACTCTTGTGACCCCATAGATTATAGCCTGCCAGGCTCCTATGTCCATGGAATTCTCCAGGCAAGAATACTGGAGTGGGTTGCCATTCCCTTCTCCAGGGGATCTTCCCGACCCAGTGAGCAAACCTGGGTCTCCCACATTGCAGACGGATTAACCATACATAATAGCATTCCCCACAGCAGCCCGCACAGCCTCGGGAGTGTGGGCCTTCCAGTCTGTCAGTGCCTGGCTCATCACCTTGGGCCAGGAGGCCTCTCTTTGAGCCTCAGTTTCCTCATCCGTAAAGTGGAGTAGCAGCCAAGAGCTTGGCCTAGAGCCCTGCATGTGGCGAGTGGGGTTATTAACACATGAAGCGCCCAGCACAGGGCGAGGACCCAGCTGCCTGAAACCACGATGAGGAGTGTCATGACCACTCTCCCCAGAGAGTTCTCGAAGAGGAGCTCGGCGGGGACTGGCAGGCCAAGGTGGCCTCTCTGGAGGAGGTGCCCTTTGCAGCTGCCTCCATTGGACAGGTGCACCAGGGCATGCTGAGGGACGGCACAGAGGTGGCCGTGAAGATCCAGGTGAGAGGGGAGGCAGGGTGGGAGTGGGGTGGGCACCTGGCCACCCCAGGGGGTGACTCCCATCTTCCGTCCCTCCTCCCCTCCCTCCTCCTCTCCCAGTACCCAGGCGTTGCCCAGAGCATCCAGAGCGACGTCCAGAACCTGCTGGCAGTGCTCAAGATGAGCGTGGCCCTGCCAGAGGGTGAGGCACCCAGTACCCCCCCTCACCCCGACCCCGACTGTGGGGGGTGGCGCCCTGAAGATAAAGGAGGTGGGGGCTGGATGCAGCAGGGGTAGCCAGCAGCTCAGGGCAGAGTGTTTCACATGTGTGAGCCCGAGTGAGCACCCAAGTCTGGGTGTTTGAGACAGAATGAAGGGACACCAAGGTGGGGAGAGCCCAGGGTACAGGCGTGTGACAAAGTCAAGCTTGGACATGCCGACAGAGATCCTGAGAGACAGAAGCCCAGACAGAAATCCAGAAACAGACACACAGGATGTGCAGAGCGGGACAGGAGGTCTGAGAACGAGCCACAGAAACAGGAGGGGGTGTCAGTGGGGCCTCCCGAGTGTGTTGCAGTATGTGAGAGAGCGCCTGAGGGAGATGGAGCAGAGTGTGTGTGAGAGAGGGGGCAGGGGGAGAGCGAGAATGAGACAGTCAGGCCCAGAAGGAAGCTTCAGAGACACTGGAAGCAGCGCGAGAGAGTAAGAAATAGGGACAGAGGGGCACTCCCTGGCCATCCAGTGGTTAAGACTCTGCGCTTCCACTGCAGCGGGCACAGGTTCGATCCCTGGTCGGGGAACTAAGATCCCACATGCCATGGTGTGTGCAGCGTGGCCAAAAAAGGGACAGAGAATAGGTGGCAGATGTGACTGTGAAAGGGGTCCAAGGACCGGTGTGCATGCCTAAGAAAGAGACCCCAGCCGAGAGGCTTCCACAGAGCCCGCAGCTGTGTGAAGGGCCGAGGGGAGTGTGTACCCAGACCGTGTGGGTGAAAACATGGAACAGAAGGGATGAGGGCTGGGGAGACAGAGTGACAGACACGACTGGCGAAGAGAAGATGTCCCTGAGTGGGAGCTTGAGGGGTCAGGCAGGGGGCAGGAGGCAGGCTGTGGCCTTCGTTGCCTGACATGGCTGCACTGCCCCCACCAGGACTAATTTATTTTGCAAAGAACAGTATACCTATTCAACTTATCTAAGAAAAGGTGGCTTCTCAGTAGGTTACAAGGGAGTATCATGAAAAACAAAAGCAGGACATTGAGTTGGGTGTCATGAGAAGTAGAAAGACATTGGACCACTTCTTCCTTTCAATTCTTGGGCTGTATGATTTCTCTGATAATCTTTTCCTTCTCCAATCTTTCTCTGAAGAGGAGTTTCCAATTATCAACTTTCCAGTTTACACCTTGCTGAAAATGTATGCTAAGTCCCACGCTATCAACTGCAGGCTTATCAACACCAACCCCCCACTCCCCACCCCCAGGCTTATTTGCTGAGCAGAGCCTGCAGGCCTTGCAGCGGGAGCTGGCGTGGGAGTGTGACTATCGTCGTGAGGCGGCCTGCGCCCCCACTCCCCACCCCCAGGCCTGTTTGCTGAGCAGAGCCTGCAGGCCTTGCAGCGGGAGCTGGCGTGGGAGTGTGACTATCGTCGTGAGGCGGCCTGTGCCCAGAACTTCAGGTGAGCTGACGCCCCTACAGGCCCCTGGACAGGCTTCCCTGGTGGCTCAGGCAGTAAAGAATCTGCCAGCAATGCAGGAGACCTGGGTTCAATCCCTTGGTGGGGAAGATCGCCTGGAGAAGGGAATGGCTACCCACTCCAGTATTCTTGCTTGGGAAATCCCAAGGATAGAGGAGCCTGGCAGACTACAGTCCATGAGGTCGCAAAGAGTCTGACACGATTGAGTGACTAACACACACACATAGGCCCCTGGAGGCCCCCTTCCTCCCTGCAGATTCCTTCATGGGCTGAAAGGGAAGTGGGTATCCCCACAGCTTCTGGCAGCTGGAGTCCTGGGGTGGGGCTGGCAGACTGTTTCTCTCTTCATTCATTTGATCATCCATCCAGCCCTTCACTCATTACTTCATTCACACCCTGTGTCCTCTGTGAGCATTCTAAATTCCTCTCTCTAAACGTCTCTACTTTCTCATCTGTCAAATGGGACACTGAACCACTGCAGTCTGATGCAGAAGACAGACTTGTCAACAGGCACTCAGTCACACGAGATACCATCATACCCACTGGACTAACAGAGATGAAGCCATCTGTGTGTGTCTGTGTGTCAAGAGTTGGGGGCTCCAGGGACTTCCCTGGTGGTCCAGTCCCTAAGATTCTGCCCTTACAATGCAGGGGCACAGGTTCAATTCCTGGTCAGGGAACTAAATTCCCATGTGCCTCACAGAGTGGCCAAAAAATAAAATTTAAAAAAAAAAGAGCTGGGGGCTCCAGGGTATCCCTTATACTCTATGGGCAGGAGGAACAATGGATAGAAGCATTTTGGAGAATGGTTTGGCATCATCAAAGCTCAGGATCCACATCTAACCCAACAGTTGCCCTCCTGACTAAATACTCTAGGGACACTTAGGGCAGTACACACCATCAGACTTTTCCAGAATACTCAGAACACTCATAGCCTCAAGTTGGAAACAACCCAAATCTATCAAACTTATCCAGCAGGGCGGATAAATAAATTATGGCATATTCATCAACACAGTATCACGTAGCATTGAAAAGGAATGAACTACAGCTCTGTGGAACAGTGGTTGTATCTTAGGGGCATCGTGATAAACTGCAATTAATTACATCTCAGTGAGACCCTCCACAGTGCGAAGCGTGGCCCACATGTTTACTGAGCCCAGCTCTGTAGATACGAAGGCAGTAGAAGGCAGTGGTTAGGGGCCTGGGCTCAGATGTGGGATCCAGTTTCAGGATTCAGTCCTGGGTCAGTCCTTAATGGACTGGGTAGCTTTAATCTGCCTGGTGGCCTTGAGAGAGCATCCTCCTCAGGGGAAGTGAGGATAAAGGGGAATTATACTGGGACTTCCCTGGTGGTCCAGTGGCTAAGACTCCCTGCTCCCAATGTAGGGGGCCCGGGGTTGGATCCCTGGCCAGGAAACTAGATCCCACACACCACATCTAAGAGTTCACAGGCCACAACTAAAACGTTCCGTGTGCTGGAACTAAGACCCAGTGCAACCAAATAAATATTTTTTTAAAAAGAGGTAATTGTGCTGACTAAATGCTCAGCAGAAGCCTGGCCCATGAGGAGCAGTTCAAACATCAGAGATCTAATCAACAAGCACAAAAATACCAGCCCCCAAAGCAGAATGTCAATGCAGGAGACCTGGGTTAGATCCCTGGGTGGGGAAGATCCCCTGGAGGAGGGTCTGGCAACCCACTCCAGTATACTTGCCTGGAGAATCCCCATGGACAGAGGAGCTTGGAGGGTTACAGTCCATGGGGTCACAAAGAGTCAGACATGACTGAGTGACAAAGCACAGCACAGCAAAGTAGAACCTGGAGGAGGAGTGTCAAGTGGGCTGGGCCAGAGCACCCCTGTGTGGGGTATGGGGAGACCACCCCCTCCCAGAATTTCCCAGTGCTCTTAGGATAAAACCCACATCATTTCCCCAGCTCCCTGTCCCCCCACCCCCAATGCCAGCCTTCCCACAGGTCCCCAACCAGAGGCCTTGCTCATATTCTTTGCCCCCCATATCTTACAGTGACACATTTATCTCAATCTACTGTTGGTCTGTTTGTTAGAATGTGGTCTTCTGTGACTGATGGTGGGGGCAGCAGGGGCATGCCTGGGGCTCCTCTTACTGCTCTGTCACCCAGCATCATCCAACACAGGGATGGACACCGAGAATGCCCTTTATTAGTCAGTGTTTGGAATAATGACTCCAAGGAGTGGCCAGTGAGTATCACTGTGGACTCAAAGATTTGTATACCAGTGACTGTTTTTCAGATAGATGAATTAATAAGTTGATGAGAAAGTAATGCTCATTGAGTTTAATACACTGAGCTCATCCTGGGGTGAGAAGTGTTTCCGGTAGGGAAGTGGTCCCTGGGTCTCCAGCCACACTTAGGGGCAGGCACAGAGATATTTGTTGCATGAATGCATGAGTGAATAAAGGAAATGTCTGAATGGGTGTCAGTCCAGCCAGGTATTGGCCATCACTCAGGGCAGAGAGGGAAGAAGAGGGCAGGAAAGAAGACGAGACACAGACTTTCCCGTGGAAGACTTCTCAGAGGAGGGGGAGGACTCACGCCAAGGGCCACAGGGGCCTGAAGAGTGAGGTCCCCACCCCTACCCTCCCATCTGCCCCAGGCAGCTATTGGCAGATGACCCCTTCTTTCGGGTGCCAGCGGTGATTCAGGAGCTGTGCACGACGCGGGTGCTGGGCATGGAGCTGGCTGGAGGGGTCCCCCTGGATCAGTGCCAGGGCTTGAGCCAGGACATCCGGAACCAGGTACATGGACTCATGGGGCAGTCAGAAGGTGCTACCCTGGGGCAGGGCTGGCCGGGTGGGGCAGGTCAGAACCACAGTCCCCCTCCAGGCTCCAGAGGGCTTTACAGGGGCACATGACTCTGAGATTTCTGTTACTCCTCTCCCCACCCCAGATCTGCTTCCAGCTCCTGAGGCTTTGTCTTCGGGAGCTGTTTGAGTTCCGATTCATGCAGACGGACCCCAACTGGGCCAACTTCCTGTATGATGCCTCCAGTCACCAGGTGGGTTTCTTGTGATGTGTCAGGGTGCATCAGCTGCTGTAACAGATATTTCCCAATGTGTCGGTAGCTCAGCACAATAGCTCCAATAGCTACTGTAGCAGGCTGGAGCGGCCTCCTCCATGCAGTGATTCAGGGACCCAGGCTCCTTCCCTTTTGTGAGTGTGCCACCCTGCCCCCCCAACCCCCACCCCAGGCCTTGAAAGGCTCTCCTTCCAGTGCAAGGGGAAAGAGAGGTTGAGAAGGTAACCCCTGCCTCACTGCTTTGGCCAGAAATGACCCATCATTCTCTTCACCATTCTGTTGTTAGGAACCGGACACATGACTTATCTAGGTGCAAGGGATGCTGGGAACTCTCTGGCTAGGCAGTGACTTCCTAGTGGCAGTGGAGAAGAGTCATTACCTCACCTGTCATTCATTTAGAACATCCCAAGTATTAACACCTACTGCCTCTTGAGCACCGACCCTTGCCTTCCCAGAGTTCCTCACCCAACACAGGGCCCCATCACCAGACAGTGTGACCTGCAGTTAGTACCTTGGCAGGGAAGCACAGGCCACAGAGGGGTCAAGTGATGGGGGAGGCTCAGGGGTTGGTGGGAAGCCAGGGGAAGTGGCTAACGTGCCTGGGGTGAGTGGGGCCAAGGAAGCTGAAGCCAGAAAGACAGGAGAGGCACAGCCATTTAAGGAGCAGGGAATAAAGAGCTTTCCTGGTAAAGGACACAGGCCATCCAAAGGCCTGGGGGTGACAGGTTGCACTGAAAGGCTCTCGGTTGCTCAGTAGCTTTCCACAGTGATCTGTGCCATTCTGTCCCCAGAGGGGTCCTTCTAAAACACAAGTCCCTTCCACAGCTTCCAGCACCCTCTCATGTGCTGAGGATGACATGGCCCCACTGTATCCAGCTTCTGTCCCTTGCCACCTTCTTCCCCCAAGTGCACAGACACCCTGCATCCCTCCAAGACTCCCACGGCAGGGAGGGCAGTTTTCCCAACTTGGGGGCCAGGGTGGGGGTGGAGGGCGATGATATGAGTCCTGACATCAATTCGTTGGGTCTCAGAAGCAGTTTTATTTTAAAGGCATAGACTATGTTGCCAGTGGGAGGGATCATATTGTTTCAGGACGCTTGTGTTTGATGTTTATATTTATGTGTGCATTAGCACTGGAGCCCAGAATAATCTGCATTTTCTTTTCCCTTTTTTTTTTTTAAGTTGGAGTATAGAGCTTCCCTGGTGGCTCAATAGTAAAGAGTCCGCCTGCCAATGCAGGAGATGTGGGTTCCATCCCTGGGTTTCGGAAGATCCCCTGGAGGAGGAAATGGCAACCCACTGTAGTATTCTTGCCTGGAAAAATCCCATGGACAAAAGAGCCTGGCAGGCTACAGTCCATGGGGTCTCAAAAGAGTCAGACACAACTTAGCAACTAAACAACAACAAATAGTGGCTTTACACTGATGTGTCAGGTTTTGCTGTAGAGCTCAATGAATTAGCCATGCGTATCCTTGTATCCCCTCATTTTTGAATCTGCATTTTCTTACTGTGGATTGTGATCAATAGTTTGAACTCCACGGTTACAGAGAAACTTACACATGTGTTCATTCACTAGCAAAACCCCAAAATAACCACAATGCCCATCAAGCAGATAAATGTGATATATTCACCCAACAGGATCTTAACTGGGCAGTGAAAAAATGAATGAAAGAGCTAGAACAGTGGGGGGTGAATTGCAAAACCATGTTAAACACAAAGAATTTACAGAATAACTATCGTAAATGCCATGTATGTGAAGTTTTAAAATATGTAAAACATGACTATGTATTGTTCATGGGTCCACATATATGTAGAAAATGTAGCAATGCATGCATGGGAATTTCAGGAAACAATAATAATTTCAGGAAAGTAGTGACCCTGAAAGAGAGGTTAGGGACTGAGGGAGGTAGAATCAGGCCCCACTTTGATTGGTAGTAATTTTAAACTGGGTAGTAGGATTTGTGAGCATTGATTTTACTTTTCCATGTATTTTCTTATTCTCTGGATGTTTTTTTTTCTTCTGTGCCTGAAACATGTTATCATAAAAACAACTAGAACCCCCAAAATAAAAACCAGGTCCCTTCAGCTTCATGTGAGGATGGATTGAAGTGTGGAGACCAGAAGCCAGGAGTCCCGGGAGGGGGCTGGTCAGGGACTCGGGCCGGAGGAGGTGTGTGGGGTGGGACAGAGGGATGGGCCCTGGCAGACAATGGGGAGAACTGGTGGACACCCAGCGTCACTTTCACCATCCCTCAATCCCAGGTGACCTTGCTGGACTTCGGGGCAAGCCGGGAATTTGGGACCGAATTCACAGACCATTACATTGAGGTGAGTGCCCCTCAGCCCTGGGGTCTCTGAAGGGCCAAGCCTCAAGCCAGATACTAAGGCTTGCAGAGAAGGAGAAATACAATATCTGGCATTAAGAAATAAATAAGAAGGCTCTGGATCTCTGAAGCCAGGCTTTGCAGCTTGTGAGCAGGGGAGGGACATAGAATTAGGAAACTCCTGAATAACAAGTGGTTTCTTAAACCCTAGAAGGCTGGAATGGGGTGGGGGAGCTGGCCGAAGAGAGTTGTCAGAGACAAGGCCCAGGGCTCTGGCTTGAGGAGCTGGTCCTTGTGGGGTGGGGGGGTCCCCTTTGGATGGGGAGAGGAAGGAGTTGGTTACCGCCCCCCGCCCCCGTGCACGCGCGCGCACACGCACACACACACACACAGAGGCTCCCTGGAGTTCTCTCCGCAGGCCACTCTTGAGGCACAAAGCTGAGGCCTCTCTGGGTAGTTGAGACATCCCCTCCCCACCCCCACAGTCCTGTTTAGCATGGCCCTCCTGCCGCCTCCCCAGCCTTTTCCAGTTTAAAAAAGCCCTGTCACACGAGTCCCCCGAGGACCACAGGCATGACAGATGGCCAGACAGACTGGGGCAGGAGGAGCTGGGACAGACCAGAACTGCCAGATTTAATCCTGTATCCCTCTTCCTCCCAAGAAGGGGCAACCCAGTGGTGAAGGGTTCGTCTCCCTTCCCCTCCTCGCCGTGCCATTCCCCATTCTGAGCCTGGTTCCTCTTCTGGGAAGCAGGGACCCTCCTATCCACCTTTTAATACAGTAAGTCCCCTACACACGAACCTTCAAGTTGCAAACTTTCAAAGATGCGAACCTGTGTTCACATGTCTGGTCACGTAAGTTAGTTCACGTGTCTGGCGTATACTGTCACCTCTATTGTCACCTGCGTGCATCCTCTACAAGGGTCTATGCTTTTGTTATACTGTACAGTATGGAGTACAGTAGTACAACATCTTTCTTTCAAGCCCAAGATGTCTGGAAGCAAGCGTAAAAGCAGCAGTATATAACTGATTGTGTTAACTGGGTACCCAGGCTAATTTTTGGGGGCTTAGGAACAAAACTGAACTTAGGAAAGTGCTCTCAGAAAGGAACTCATTTGTATGTAGGGCACTTACTGTAGTGATAGGAATTCATGATATTTATGGTGTTTCCTTCATGTGGGCAACTTCCCTGGTGGCTCAGTGGTAAAGAATCCACCTGCAATGCAAGAGACACGGGTAGACATGGGTTCAATCCCTGGGTCAGGAAGATCCCTTGAAGGAGGAAATGGCAACCCACTCCAGTATTCTTGCCAGGAAAATCCCATGGACAATCCCTTGGAGCCTGGAGGGCTACAGTCCATAGAGTCACAAAAAGTCGGACACAACTGAGTACACACGCACACGTGTAGGCACCATGCGAAGCACTCCACAGATACACCTCCTTCATCCTCCCAGAGCCCCATGAGGAAGACACTTTCATCATCCCCACTTCACAGATGAGAAAGCAGAGGCCCCCAAAGCAAAGCGACTTGCCCAGACTCAGCCAGTGAGTGGCAGAACTGGGATGGAGCCCAAGCAGGCTGGCTCCCGCTTCTGTCTGTCTGTCCCTGTGCCCTCAACTCCTGCCCATCCTACATGGTTGGAGAGCTGCTTAGCTCCAAACACTGATTTACTAAACAAGGGTTTTCACCAAGGGCCTCCTGAGTGAGTGCCAGACCCTGTGCCACTTGGGACTACACCCAACTGGGATCCCTGCCCTCTTGGGGCTCCAAATCCAGTATGGAAGCCAGACATCAAGTGATCCCAGAGGGCAACCTCAGAGGCAGTTCTGGGTCATGGTCACACCCTTTAGCAACTAAGTGTTTAGACCTGTGAGCATCACTTGGCATCTGCTTTCCTCTGTCCTGCTTCCAGGCAGCCTCTGCCTTCCCAGCCAAGTGGGTGGGATGCCTGGCCACCCCAACCCCCAGGCTCAGGAACAGTCTTGAGAGAGGCACAAACAGGGGTAAGGTGGAGAGGGAGAGGCTTCCAGGTGAGCGGGCTTAGGTGGAGGAGAACGGAAGTGGATCCGGGCAGGGCCAGGCTTCCAGCTCCCATCTCCAGACCCATCCTTGAACCCCTCTGCCTCTGTGCCCACATCCGCCTGTGCAGGTGGTGATGGCTGCAGCCAATGGAGATAAAGACCGGGTCCTGCAGAAATCGAGAGACCTCAAATTTCTCACAGGCTTTGAGACCAAGGTGGGGAGAGTTGGAGCTGGTGTCTCCTTGCGGGGAGTAAAAGCACTTCTCTCTACTGGGGGAACTGTGGATGAGTGGGGGACTCTAGGGGGACTGCTTCTCTGTACTGGGGGCTCTGGGGAGGAGGGGTAAATGGGGGTACCACTCATCTATTCTAGAGAGGGAGTGGGGGGCTGCTTGTACATCCGGTGGGGCAGGGGGCTGAGTAACAGAAGCTGCATCTCTGTCCAGGAGAGTTAAGGCTATGTGTCTACTGGAGGCCCTGAGAGGACAGGAAGGGTGCTTTGGGGAGTAGAGGAGGGCTGCTTGTCTCTTAGGGGCTCCGGAAGGAGCGAGGCTGCCTGTTACTCTCTGGGGAATTGAGGGCTTGTTTGTTCTTGAGACTCTGAGGGAGCAGAGGGCTATATGTCCACACTGGGTGCCTCTGGTCCCCCCGACCCCTAGGCATTCTCAGACGCCCACGTGGAGGCCGTGATGATCCTGGGGGAGCCCTTCGCCACCCAGGGCCCCTATGACTTTGGGGCGGGTGACACTGCCCGCCGCGTGCAGGGCCTCATCCCTGTGCTACTGCGGCACCGGCTTCGCCCACCACCCGAGGAAACCTATGCCCTGCACCGAAAGCTGGCCGGGGCTTTCCTGGCCTGCGCCCGCCTCCGTGCCCACATCGCCTGCCGGGACCTCTTCCAGGACACCTACCACCGTTACTGGGCCAGTCGCCAAGCATAGCCATGGCCCATAGCCTCCTAACCAGAGGACCCGTCAGAGAGACTCCATCTCAGGACTCCAGCCCCATAGCAGGCCATCCCCTGCTATGAGACCTCTTTCCCCTCCCTGCTCTAGGCCTGGGGACCCACCTTGGGCTTGGGAGTAGGACACTCCCAGCTTCATATCCCCATGTCTTGCCCTCCTCACTCCAAAGGGAGCATCCAGGAATTCTACCTTGGTATTAATTTATTTCTGGAAACATTTGAGAGAGTCTTAGGCCCCTCTGCACTGCCATCATGGAGATGCAGAGGCAGCTAGAGGGGGATCCCCTCACCTGCCTCAGGTCCTCCATAGATGTGGTCCGTGAAAGAGGAGCGGGTGGTGGTTGGTGGAGGCAGCCCTCACCTTTGCCTTGCTTACCCCTGCACCAGCTGCCTTCTCCCTGGTGGCATCCCCTGTGTGTTTGGGGAGGGCATGGCGGGGGTGGGGGTGAATCTTCAGTCCCAATAAAAGTGACCCTCCCATTCCCCCAGTTCTTTTCTCTGCTGGGGGGGGGGGGGGGGGGCGGTCCGCAGGCTGCTTCCAGGTGCAGATGGCCAGCCCCCTCCCACCCTCTTGTCTGAAAGCCCCAGTCCTGCCTGGGCCATCTGTTGCCAGGAACCTCCTTCTCTCCTTTCCCTACAGCCCCCCACCCCCGCCCCTCCCGCACGTGCTGACCACCTGCTCCGAAGGCTGCGGCAGCTGAGAAGGCCTTCCTCCCCACCCCCCAGAACACATACACATACACACACCACCTCCCAGCCTCCTGGCTCCCTCTGCTCGGCTCCCAGCAACCTCGCTTTTTTGCTAATGGGCCTTAATGCCCCTGCCAGCTGCTTTGCCAAACCCACAGGACTGGGCGGGAGCAGAGGCGCTTGGGCGGCCAGAAGCCGCTCCCCCGTCCCAGCCTGGCGCCCCCGCCCCCAAAGCTGAACCGACCGCGCACCAGGACGTCGGGGTCTGTTCACTCCCCCTCCCCTTCCCAGCAAAAAGTGCCTCGTCACCGCTTCTGCCCGCCCCCGCTGGGCCGGGAGATCCGTGGGGTTAGCTGGAAGATTTGGGGATGTGGGGCGGCGAGGCGCCTCCCGAGGCAAATCTTTCGGACGCGGAACTTAAGGGGATCTGAGGTCAGGGGTCACGGAGGGGAAAGGAGCCCACGCCTGGATGGACCAAGAGGAAGCAGTGTCCGCGAGATTCACGTGCGTGCTCAGCCCAAGACGGGCCAATGGGCGTGGCGGGGCGGTGGCCACACCGAAGGGGGCGGGATTACATTTGCGTATAGGCGGGGCCTGCTGCTCAAGGGGCGGGGTCTCTTTGCATATCCAGCAGGCGGCAGGCCAATGGGCGGGGCTAGGGCGGGGAGCCGAAGAGGGAGGGGCCCTCCTCCGCCCCTGGAACGGAATCCTCCAGGGAGCGGAGCAGGCTAGCGAGCGTGCATCCCGCACCAACCCCCGGCCCCCATCCCCGGCCCGCGTCAGACAGAGCTGCCGCCGCCGCCGCTAGAGCAGCAGCAGCACTCGGGGATCCGGGCCCAGCCGGGGCCGCGGGAGGCGGGGGCGCCCAAGCCCTGGATGTCCCGCAGCGCGGCGGCCAGAGTGAGAAGGGCAGGAGAGGGGGGCTCGGGTGGGGGGCGGCGCCGCTGCTGATGTGGCGGAGGGTGGGAGGTGGCCGCGGCACCCGGATGGAGAGGGTGCCAAGGCTGGAGAGGGTGGTCCTGGTTGGGGGGTGGTCCAGGAATACGCTCCGCTCCAAGCCGAATCTTGGGAAACAGGGGTCTCGGGCACAGGCCCTCTCTTGCCCAGGTTCTGAAGATAAATATCCCAGAAAGAGATCTCCCCCTCCAAATAATCAAAGACAGGGGGACAGCTTCTAGGTACAACTTCCTAGGCAAGATTTTGGGGATGGGGTCTAAGACACAACCTCCGTGGGAAGCCAAGGCCTCTAGTAGGGGATTCCACACCAGACACAATCCTTACCCCTCCCTGCCTGAAGGGGTCTCTGAACGCAACAACCCTCTAGGCAAGGTCTTGAGAATGGGGTCCCTGAGCACAGCTCCCCCACCAAGGCAAGGCCTGGGGGGATTCCAAGCACAGTCTGTCCCCAGGCCTCAGAGGCATCCCGGGCAGAGCATCGCCCCCACACTTGGGCGCTGTCCCAGGAACATCCCTTTCTCAAAACAAGGTCTCTGTGCCTGGGACCCCATCCCCCTCAAGCCTGAATAAAATAATGGGAATTTCAGGCAAACCCCCCACACACAAAAAAAGGCTTGGTCAAGGGTCCCAGGGCACAGGTCTCCTGGGCCACCCTCTTTGTCCCGGGGGCTGCCCAGCTGTCTGGGAGGGGCCCGAACCGCAGACAATCCACCGCCTCCCTCTTCAGTTCTGGCCCCCCAGGCTCCAGGATTCAAGCTGGGCCAGGGGGCGGCTCCCCAGGGACCTGGTACAGCCCTGTCTGTCTGCAGTGTCTGCCGTGCTGGTGACGGCGGCTTTGTGTGTGGTACCTGGGGGGAAGGGGGGGAAGCCAGCGAAGGGGAGGTGGCTAAGAGTGTGACCCTGTGTTTTTGTGACTGTGGCTGCCTGTGTGTGTCTGTGTGAGCTGCTGCTGGGGACTGTGAGGAATCGTGTGTGTGTGTTTCATGCTTGTGGTTGTGTCTGATAGTGCCTGTGACTGTATTTGTGTGTGACCCCAGCATTTGTGTGACTGTGTTTGTATCTATGACAGCTGCTTGCTCCATGTGCAGAACCCTGTACTTTTCATTTTGTCTCTGTGTGCGTAGTTGTGACTCTGGTTGTATCTTTGATTACATCTTTTGTGACCCTCACATATGTACCTTGGTAACTCTAACTGGGTATGTGACAGTGTATCCATTGAGTCTGGGGTTGGGCATGTGTATGGCTGACTGAAGATGTGGGTGGAGTTGTGACTGGAAGTGGAGTTGTGTCTATGACTCTGTGTCCATGTGCGACTGTTCTAATGACTTCTAGTCTTTGTGGTTGTGTCTCTAGCTGATTTTATAGGTGTGTCACCCATGTGTTTGTCACAAACACATGAGTGACACACAACTCTGCCTGCAGTTTTGGGTGTATGACTGCCTTTGTATATGAAGTCACATTGTGCTTATGTGACAGGTTGTGTTCTGGCACTGTGACTTGTATATTTCTGTTCATAACCACATCCATGTATGTGATCGGGATTGTATAAATGACTACATTTAGGTCTGTGTGTTGATACTGACTGCATTTGTAGTTGTGTATGTGTGATTTGGGTTATGTATTTGACTTAAGAGTCTGGAACCCTGACTATTAATAGTGAGTTATTTAATTGCATGTGACTCAACCTATAGGTGGGTCTGTATGTGCTGGCACCAGGTGATTGCGTGTGTTTGTGGGGGTGTGTGTATGAGACTGTGACTTCTATATTTGTGTGTGACCTGCATGTCTGTCACCCTGGGTGACTCTGCCTACTTGTGTCTGTGTCATGGTCTGTAAGATTGTGAGTCTGTAGCAGTGTGGCTGTTTGGGGTGGGTGGGTGTGTGTCCCTGCAGGCATGCTAGGCTGCTTTGTTGAATTTGTGTGATTTGGTGACAGAGTGAATGTCTCCTGACAGCACACATGTCTCCATCCAGAACCAAGTCTTCTGTGTAAATATAGCTATAAGTGCTCCATCTGGGTGTGTGAGATGGAAATTGTGTGCTGATGTTTTTGTGTGTGAGATATGGTGTGTCTGTCCACATGGGGCTGTGATTGTACATGGTCCTATACTTGTCTGTGTGACTTACGTGTTTGCAGGAACAGAGACTGTTTGTTTTTCTGGGATAATGTGACATAGTACAGCTGGGAGTTGGATGGTGGATAACTGCAATAGATGTACCATGACTGTGATACATGTCTGGGTAATGGGGACACTCCTGGGGTGGGATTTTGGATACATGACCATTTCTGAAATGCGTATGACTGACTCTGAGCCACCAACTGTCTGGCTGTGTCTGAGTGGGGCTCGGGGAGATCTTTCTCTGGATGGTTGTATGCTTGTCTTGAGTTTATGTGTCTGTTTCTCTCTAATGCGCCGGCCATGGCCATCAGGGTCCCTGTTTGTGGTTGCGTATGCAGGACCATCCATAGAAGTGTGGCTGATACTGTGACCAAAGGTATGTCTCTGACTGGGATGTGTGACTGTGTAACAGTGTGTGACTAAAAAGGTGTGTTGGTGTGACCAATACAGTTGGGGTTAGGTGTCCTTGTACAGCCGTGTGCTGGTCAATGACTAGACACATGTGGCTGCAGCTGAATGTGATCAAATGTGTGTTAGTACGTCTACATGTGTCCCTGACCGGATGTCAACAGGCAGCAGGGGAGCTGTGTGTGAACACTGTGTGTGCCTCGGTGCTAATAGGTGACCTCCAGCAGGGTGTGATTCTTCATGGGTGGGTCTGTGACATGAATATCTTGGATGGGTGCCTGAGGAAACAGCTCTCATTGGGTGTGGTTGTTCACGGGCTGCCCTGGTGGGTGTGCCTGGACCCGGCTCTTTGTATGTGGCGGAGAAAAGAGAAGTGACCGAGTATCAGTTGCTGGTATGACCAGACATTTGTGGCGCTGCCAAGGCAGCCTGGCACTCTGTATGTGTGTGTGCCTCGTTGCTCAGTCATGTCCAACTCTTCGTGACACCATGGACTGTAGCCGCCCTCCCAGTCTCCTCTGTCCATGGGATTTTCCTGGCAAGAATACTGGAGTGGGTTGCCATTTCCTTCTCCAAGAATACTGGAGTGGGTTGCCATTTCCTTTTCCAGGGGATCTTCCTGACCCAGGGATTGAACCCGCGTCTCCTGCATTGCAGGCGGATTCTTTACCTGCGGACAAATGGTCTGTAGCAGAGACTGTGTGTCTGTGAACATGGATATGTGGCCAGATATTTACAGTGGCTGTGACTGTCGATGTGTATCTGTGTGATCCTGTGTGTGTAGCTGTGGTTGTGTCTGTATGTAACTAATTGTGCGGAGCTATAACCAGGTGCTGGAGACAACTGGAGACCAGAGTTGCACGTACACCTGTGACTGTATGTGTGTGTGCAGCCCTGGACATGTGTCTAGAGGGCAGGGCCGCTCGCTCCCACTCCGCACCAGCCCCTTGGGTACGGACAGCCTTCTGAGGCCAGGACACCCCCAACGGATGCCCCCAAACACACCTACTCATTCCTAGGTCCTTGCAACCAGGTGGCTGATCGCCTTAGTAACAGTTGCTATAGCAACCAGGACTCTCATCAGGGATCCTGAGATGAAGGGGGGTTGGCTGATATCCAAAGAAGGGGTGAGGTAGGGGACTGAGCCCCACCCCAAGCCAGATTCTCAACTTTCCCTCCCTTCCTCGGGCAGGGCGGACCCAGGAGGCCTGAGCAGCATCTGCCCCCTGCCCCCTGTGGGGCCCTGGGGCCCCCTGAAATCTCCAGGACGGAGCCAGGTGAGTGGCCAACTGGGGACTGGGTGAAGGGTGACTGAGGGGGTGGGTCTGCCTAGCATAGCCAGAGAAAATATCCTTGCAGTCACACAGGCTTAATCACACTTATGAGTGGACATCAACGAATGACTTTTGTCACATTCAAGTGACCTCCTTCACAGACTCACCTACCTAGACTATGTCTCACACACACACATTCAGACACACACCAACATCTCTGCACGCACAGGTGTAGGGTCACACAAACATGCAGACACAATCCTCAACAACATCCAAACTCCCTCCCAGGAGAGTGCTACAGACTTGGGGACTCTCAAGAAATGTCCTCTTATCCAATTTCTCCAACAACACGCACAGACCCACACTTTACAGACCACAGCCACACTTTCACAAGCAGATCCAGCCTCACAGACAGCACCCATGTGCTCGTGCCTTTATAAGAGCTACACTTTTGCACACACAGTCTCACAAATAATAGTCAGCACTGTCATAGATAGTAGCCACATTCTCACACCATCACACCTTCATAAATAACACTCACAGTGTCAAAGACAACAGCCTCATGTCTTCACATACCCTCAAAGACACATGGCTGCATACAGACACACTCCCAGAACAACACTCACAGACCCACACTCTCTGTAACAACATGTGATCTGACCCAGACACACTGTCACAAACAACAGCCATGGAAACACAGCCTCACCACCAACAGCTTCACTCTTAGACAAACATGGTGTTTTGAGTATCCCTCACAGACACACATTGTCATGGGCAAAAGTCATCAAAGACAACAGCCACATCCTCACACAGACACACAGCATCAAAGATGACAGTCATAGACATGGCCTTTCAAAGAAAACAGCTTCATGCTCAAACACAGACCCATCCTCACAGGCAACATTCCCTGACACACACTTACCACCACTCTCTTTAGCCATGAGCTTCAGGGACACTCAGACAACAATCACAATCTTGGCCACAGACATCCCCTCACAGACAGCATTCACACACATACTCTCAGACTCATAGACACAACCATTCTCAGACCTGCGTCCTTCCACACAAGCTTCAGCTGTATACACACTCACAGACAGTCGTCGTCTGAGCGGTTGTATCTGCATCAGAGACCAGCCCGTCCCCAACACTCTCTGGCCTGGGCTCTGAATCTCAACCCCTGGACCTTCTGTGTCCCCCACCCCCCCATTTGGACCCATGCAACTCAACTTCTGTGGCCTCTGACCACCTCTGACCTTTTACCCCTAAACCCCCTGACCTCACGGCCCCTGACTGCTATGCCGTCTACCTCCCAGGTCCCCCACTGCCTTAACTTCCCATCACTTTGGATCATCATGCCTCTTGACTGTCACATCTCCAAGCTCCAGACCCCTAAAAGCTGTGATTCAGGACACCCCATCCCAGAACTCCATGCCGCTTAGCCCTATGCCTTTTTTTTGGCCTCACCACAGGGCATCTGGGATCTTAGTTCCCCGACCAGGGGGAACCTGTGCCCCTGTACCCTCTACGTTGGAAGCACCCAGTCTTAATCACTCACCACTGGACAGTCAGGGAAGTCCCTAGCCCCATGTCTTTTGAATCCCTGCTGCCAATTCTCTCACTCCCCTGCCTTCCAGGTGCCCCCGTGCCAGGATCCCCTAACCGCTGCTGATCCATGACCCCCAAATGTCAGATCCTCTGACCCAGTGACCCCCTAACCCTGTAACCCTACTGCCATGTTACCTGACCCTGTGCTCCCTGCGCGTTGTTTTCCCCTCCTTGAGCCCCATGCCTCTGACCCTCGCCCTTGACCTGCACCCCTGTTTTGTGTCAGCAGACGGGGCGGGCACCATGAACAAGCTAAGGCAGAGCCTGCGGCGGAGGAAGCCAGCCTACGTGCCTGAAGCGTCGCGCCCACACCAGTGGCAGGCGGACGAGGACGCTGTGCGCAAGGGCACGTGCAGCTTCCCGGTCAGGGTGAGTGGGCGGGGCTCGGCTGGGCGTGGCTGCAGCTGTATGCCACGGTTCGATGTGCGCAGGCGTTCCAGTGCCCAGGGAGGTGACTGAGACAGCCTGTGTGGAAGAGATTTGACATCCGCAAAGAACTGTGGATCCTGCAACATTAGCGCCCCCCTCCCCTACCTGGGTCCTTCACAGTTGGGATTAAAACCCAAGACATTCTCTTGTGCCAGGAAAATATTACCTGCAGTGTGTGTTGGGGGGCGCGTCCCGCCTGGAGTCACGCTGTTCTGTGGGAGCTCACAGTTTCCGGGGGGGCACTAGAAGGTCACAAAGATTCTGTAGCATTTGCAAAGCCCTCTATGTTAAGTGGGCTTCCCCGATACCTCAGTTGGTAAAGAATCCGCCTTCAATGCATGAGCCCCCGGTTAGATTCCTGAGTTGGGAAGATCTGCTGGAGAAGGGATCGGCTACCCACTCCAGTATTCCTGGACTTCCCTTGTGGCTCAGCTGGTCAAGAATCCACCTGCAATGCGGGGGACCTGGGTTCTATCCCTGGGTTGGGAAGATCCCCGGAGAAGGGAAAAGCTACCCACTCCAGTATTGTAGCCTGAGAATTCCATGGACGGTATAGTCCATGGGAGTCACAAAGAGTCCGATACTACTGAGAGACTTTCACTGTCACTACTGTTAAGTACTTTCTGGTTTAGACCACCACGACCCTTTACAACAAACACTAAAATTTATAAGGGAGATGGCAAGATTCAGGTTCAAATCTCCACTCAGTATCTTCTTGGTTAGGAGACAACAGATGATGGTCACAGAACGGGGGGTTCCCCACCCCACACACACATACTTGCCTCTCCTCCCCACCCTGCCTTATTTTCCTTTCCCCTAGAAGTGGATCTTGGGTGAGGGGCTATTGAGAGGTGCAGGAAGTGCTGGAGAGAATGAGGACTGGAAGGCGGCCAATAAAGGGTGTTTTACTAAACTACAGTTGTGAGCGACTGAGTTTGATGCCACTGGGGAACTCTGGGAAATGGAACCATCCCACCCGCGGGGTGAGGGAGCTGGAGCATGTGTACCCCAGCTCCCATCAGTCATCGCATGAGGCCAGTCCTCAGGCGCAGAGGCAGACAGTGTCACTCAGAAGGACACCAAGATGTGTTAAGAAAGCCCAGGGATACAAGAAGAGAGGTGCAGACGTAGAGAACGGACTTGTGGACATAGTGGGGGAAGGAGAAGGGACGAATTTGGGAGAGTAATATTGACATACATATACTACCATGAATAAAATAGCTAGCTATTGGGAAGCTACCGTATAACCCAGGGAGACCAGCTTGGTGCTCTGTGATGACCGAGAGGGGCGGAGTTGGGGGTAGGGGATGGGTGGGAGACTCAAGAGGGAGCGGATATATGTACAGCTGATTTACGTTGTTGTACAGCAGAAACTAACACAACATTATAAAGCAATTATATTACACACACACACACACACACAAACGCCCAGGGATAGAGGCAGAGTGAGAATCACTAGTGCGAGCTGTGCTTCAGTTTTCTCACTTGTATTTATGGGAGGAGAATGGAGTTCCCCACCTTGTAGGTCTGAGATGCAGGGTAATGAGTTAATCCACACGATGTGCTTAGGACATTGCCTGATAGGACACTGCAGCCCAGTGAACACTCGGAAGCATTGATGACTGTGCTTGTTTCGTGTCCTCCCTTCCCTTCCCCACCAAGTACCTGGGCCACGTGGAGGTGGAGGAGTCCCGGGGGATGCATGTGTGTGAAGATGCTGTGAAGAAGCTGAAGGCGGTGAGTGAGGGGCTGGAGCGGGAGGGAGCAAGGTCAGAGCAGGAGAGGCAGCCCTGACCACGCCTGCTGTCTGCCTGCATTTCAGATGGGTCGGAAGTCCGTGAAGTCTGTCCTGTGGGTGTCAGCTGATGGGCTCCGGGTGGTGGATGACAAGACCAAGGTAGGAGACCTGTGGGCCTGGGAGTGGGCACCAGTGGGCCCCCCTCTCAGCCTGCTCGAATGGGGCCTTCTCACCCACCTCTGGGGTGTCCCTCCCTTGGAGACCTTTGAGATTCAGCTATGTGCTCCTGTAATATATCGGCACACCTCACAGTCATAATTCAGGATTGAGTCCTGTGGCTATTTGTGAACTGGCGTGGAGTGTGGGTGAGAGCACAGACTCTAGAGCAGTTGCCTCAGCTGGCCTTCCAGCCCACCCACTCTCCAGCTGGGTGACTCTGGGCATGAAGGGGGCGCAGGGTAAGATATAACCCTTGTCATGCCTCACTTGCCTCATCTGCAAAAATGGGGATAAAAGTGGAGCCTACCATTCAATGAGAATGTATGTGCAAATAGTTTAAAACCACGCCCGGTATAGCAGAAGTGTTCCAATCAATAAATGTTAGCTGTTACGTGCTTATTGTCCATCTGCCTGGCCAGATGGAAGCACCGTGGACCAGGACCTGGGTCTCTGCTTACCATTGAATTCCCTGCCCCTAGCCCAGAGACTGCCCGGGAAGCCAGCCAGCACGTGATGACAATTAGGTTAATGACTGAAAAGGATTCACCCCCTCCAGGAAGCTTTGCCGGACTCCCGTCCAGCTTGGGTCAGGCACCTCATCTTGCTCCCAAAAGCCCGTGCACCTCCCAGATCCAGCCCTGAGCACTCCGCCCATCAAGAACAGCGTGGCTGGGACTCTGGCCTGTCTTCCTTGGGTGATGAGTCTGACTCCTGCCCTAAACTTGGGAGCCCCATGTAAACAGGGCCCACAGTTGTTTCAACAAATGCAGGGTCCCCAAGCCTTTGGGATGGACACAGTGCAGACACGAAGGGAATACTGAATGAATACACGGGAGACAGTTCATATTCCTTTCCTGGCCTCCCTCCCAGGACCTGCTGGTGGACCAGACCATCGAAAAAGTCTCCTTCTGTGCTCCTGACCGCAACCTGGACAAGGCTTTCTCCTACATCTGCCGTGATGGGACCACCCGTCGCTGGATCTGCCACTGTTTCCTGGCGCTCAAGGATTCAGTGAGTACCACCGAAGCCCAAAGCCACTGACTGACTCCCATGCCCTGGTATTCCCAACTTCAGCCCTCTGTGTGGTATCAGGCAAGTCACTCATTTTACCTCTCCTCTCTGTCTTCACCTGGAAAAGGGGGTGTGTTCACAGTCACTGAGTGTGTGCGTGCTGTGTCGCTTCAGTCGTGTCTGATTCTGTGTGACCCTATGGACTGTAAGCCTGCCAGGCTTCTCTGTCCATGGGATTCTCCAGGCAAAATACTGGAGTGGGTTGCCATGCCCTCCTTCAGAGGATCTTCCTGACCCAGGGATCAAACCCACAGCTCTTATGCCTCCTTCATTGGCAGGCAGGTTCTTTACCACTAGTGCCACCTGGGAAACCCATTCACAGACCCTAACAGAGGATTATTGTGAGACTTGACGGGTTTGATACAGAACAAATTTGGAATAATACCTGGCATATAGGAAGCACTCAGAAAAACATTTATCAACCTCCTCCTCGTTGTCAATAATTCTTCATGTTTCTCCAGCTTATCTCATTTGAGGAGCATATACATACAGTAACATGTACAGATGACCCAGGCACAACTCCATGAATTTTTCCTTATTTTGAAATTTTACTTATTTATGTATTTTTGTCTGCACCACAGGGCATATGAGATCCTAGTTCCCCAACCAGGGATGGAACCTGTGCCCCCTGCAATGGGAGCATGGAGACTTAACCTCTGGACCACCAGGGAAGTCCCAAAGTAAAGTGTACGATTTAGTGACATATATATTCACAATGCTGTTTACACAATTCCATCACTTCTATCTAGTTCCAGACATTTTATTACTTCTAGAAGACACCTCATACCCGTTAAGAAGTCACTACCTGCTTACTATCTCTATGGAGTTGTCTATTGCAGACAGTGTGTACAAACTGAGTCACACAGTATATGATCTTTTATGACTGGCTTCTTTCACTTAGCATAATGTTTTTAAGATTCATCCTTGTTGTAACATGACTCAGTATTTCATTCCTTTTTTTAAAATTTCATTCCTTTTAATGAACAAATAATATTCCATTGTATGGACATACCACATTTTACTTTATTTATCCATTGATGAACATTTGATTTGTTTCTACTTTTGGCGATTATGACTAGTGCTTCTATGGACATTGGTATACAAGTATTTGTTTGAATACCTGTTTTTAATTCTTCTGGGTATGTACTTAGGAGTGGAATTGCTGGGGCATATAGTAAATTTCATTGTTTGAAACTGGGGTGTGGTTGCTTTACAAGGTTGTATTAGTTTCTGTTGTACAGTGAAGTGAATCAGCTATATGTATACATATATCCCCTCTCTCTTGGACCTGCCTCTAACCTCTCATCCCATCTAGGTCACTGCGGAGCGCTGAGCTGGGCTCCCTATTCTATATGGCAGGTTCCCACTAGCTATCTGTTTTACACATAGCAGTGTGCATTTTTTGAGTAATTGCCACATTGTTTTCCTTGGTGGCAGCACCATTTTACATTCCCACTCACACTGTATGAGGGTTCCAAGTTCTCCTTATCCTTGTCAACACTTTTTTTTATTATAGCCATCCTGTAGATGTGAGGGGTATCTCGTTGTATTTCCCCGATGACTAATGATGTTGGGCATCTTTTCATATGCTTATTGGCCAACTGTACATCTTTTTCAGAGAAATATCTATTCAAATCCTTTACCCATTTTTAATTGGGTTGTTTGACTTTTTACTGTTGTGAGAGCTCTTTATATATTCTGGATAACCAGGAACTTAGCAGTTGTGTGATTTGCAAAACTTTCCCCTCATTCTGTGGGGTGTCTTTTCATTTTCTTGATAGTGTCCTTTGATGTACAAATGTACACATTTTGATGAAGTTCAGTCTCTCAATTTTTTTCTTTTGTTATTTCTGTTTTGGGTGTCATCTATTATATCTAAGAATTCACTGCCAAATCCAAGGTCATAGAGATTTACCAAATGTCTTATTCTAAGAGTTTTATAGTCTTCTTGTTCAGTCACTCAGTCGTGTCCGACTCTTTGCGACCCCATGGACTGCAGCACACCAGACGTCCCCATCCTTCACCATCTCCTGGAGCTGGCTCCAACTCATGTCCATTGAGTTGGTGATGCCATCCAACCATTCATCCATTTATAGCCTTAGCTCTTCTGTTTAGGTCTTTGATCCATTTTGAGTTAATTTTTATAAATGATGTGAGGTAGGAATCAACCTTCATTTATTTTTCATGTGAATATCCAGTTGTTCCAGGATCTGCGCTCTCAGTTTTGCTGGCCTATATGTCTGTCCTTAAGCTAGTATCACATTGTTTTGCAGTGACTACTTTAGCTTTGGGTAAGTTTTTAAACTGGAAAGTGTGAGTTCTTCTACTTTATTCTTTTTCCAAATTGTTTTGGCTGTCGTGAGTCCCTTGCAATTCCATAAGAATTTCAGGATCAGCTTTTCCATCTGTGGAAGAGCCCATTGAGATTTTAAAAGGGATTGCATTCAATCTGCAGAATGCTTTGGAAAATATTGCCCTTTTAACAATATTAGTCTTCCAATCCACAAACACAAGGATGTATTTCCATTTACTTAAATCTTAAATTTCCTTCAATAATGTTGTGTAGTTTTCAATGTTTACATCTTTTATTTCCTTGGTTAAATTTATTCTTAACCAAAATTTATTCTTAATAAATAAATTTTATTATTCTAATGGTACTGTAAATGGAATTGTCTTAATTTCATTTTTAAATTGTTTACTGCCTATGTATACAGATATAACTGATTTTTTCATGTGTTGATTTTGTATCCTACAACTGTGCTGAATTTATTTGCACTAATTGTGGCTCCTTTATGATATTCTAATTATATGATCATGCTTTCTGCAGACAGAAGTGATTTTACTTCTCTCTTTCCAACTTGGGGTGCCTTTTATTTCTTTTCCTTGTCTAGTTACTCTAGATAGAACTTCCAGTACAGTGTTGAATAGAAATGATGAAAATGGCATCCTCATCTTGTTTCTGATCTAGGGGAAAGCTTTGTCTTTTACCACTGAGGATAATGTTAAGTGTGAGTTTTTCATAAATGTCCTTTATAAGGTTGAAGAAATTCCCTTCTATTCCAACTTTTGTCATATGCTTTTCCTGTGAGAATCAAGAGAGTCATGTGGGTTTTTTTTTTCTTTCATTCTATTAATGTGGTTGATTGATTTTCATATGTTAAACCAACCTTGCATTCTGGAATAAATCTCACTTGATCATGGTGCATAACCCTTTTAATGTGCTGTTGGGTACAGATTGCTGGCATTGGGTTGAGGATGTTTATCCTCAAATTTAACTTTAAGAGGCAACTAAGCATCTTGTTTCTGGGAGAAGGAAATGGCAACCCACTCCAGTATTCTCGCCTGGAGAATCCTGTGGACAGAGGAGCCTGGTGGGCTGCTGTCCGTGGGGTCGCAGAGTCGGACACGACTGAAGCAACTTAGCAGCACCTGCAGCAGAGCCTCCTGTTCAGGGAACAGAAGTCAGACATACTCATCAGCATCCAGACTCTGCCATTCACTTGTTATAATGGGCAGGTTGACCGAACCTTAGTTTCTTCATCTGTACAACAGGTTCACAAGGTTGTCCACCTCCTGGCACTCTTGTGAGGATTCTGTAAAAGGATGCAAACCAGGGCTCAACCCAGGGCTACAGAAGATTTTTGCTGACATATATGTGGGTTTCCCTCTGCCTGGCTTTGTGCCACATGCCCTGCATAGATTCATTCACCTTTCTTGCAACAACCCGATGAAGCGGGTGCTATTACAGCCCTCATTTTACAGATGCGGAGGCTTGGATACTGGAAGTGATTTTCCTGAGGTCACACAGCTGAGAAATGGGAAGCCAGCATCAATCTCAGGCTCTCTGGCCTTTGTTGTTGTTGTTCAGTTGCTTAGTCATGTCCAATTCTTTGCAACCCCATCAACTGCAGCACACCAGGCTTCCCTGTCCTTCACTATCTCCTGGAGTTTGCTCAAACTCATGTCCATTTGAGTCAGTGATGCTGTCTCTGGCTTTGGAGCCTCTCAAGTAGGCGAACTTGAAAGACTTGTACAGTCACCAGTCACTTGTACACCCCTCTACCCAGATCCAGCAATTAACATTTGTCTGGACTTATATCACTTACCTGGAGATCAGTCCTGGGTTTTCATTGGAAGGACTGATGTTGAAGCTGAAACTCCAATACTTTGGCCACCTGATGTCAAGAGCTGACTCACTGGAAAAGACCCTGATGCTGGGAAAGATTGAGGACAGGAGAAGGGGACGACAGAGGATGAGATGGTTGGATGGCATCATCCACTCAATGGACATGGGTTTGGGTGGACTCTGGGAGTTGGTGATGGACAGGGAGGCCTGGCGTGCTGCGGTTCATAGGATTGCAAAGAGTCCGACACGACTGAGCAACTGAACTGATATCACTTACCTACACATCTTATTTTTTGATGCATTTCAAAGTTGCAGACATCAGAATACTTCCCCCAAACACTTCAGCTTGCATACCAGTAAGCAGAATTCGTATTTGTTTCCAGCTTTCTTTTTTGACTTCAAGTTGAGGCACATGGGATCTTAGTTCCCTGGCCAGGGTTTGAACTTATGTCCGCTGCAGTGGGAGCATGGAGTCCTAACCACTGGACCACCAGGGAAGTCCCTCCAGCTCGTCTTCTTTTGAAGTGAAATTCATGCTGCCAACAAACCTGAAGTATACTTTTGTCGAGTTTTGACAACTGTGTACATTGTATAACGAAACTGTGTAACATCAAGATCTAGAACATCGCCACAAACCCAGACTGGCCCCCTCGTGCTCCATCAGTGCCCATCCGCACTCTGTAAGAAACAACCACTGTTCTGATGGTTTTTCATCACAGGCTAGTTTTGCCCATTTTGTAAGTTCACAGAGAGTAATACACCTCGACAGAGCCATACAGTTATTACGCTCTTGTCTGCGGCTTTTGTCCCTCCTCGTGCAGTTGTGCACGGAGGCCCAAGAGAGGTGAAGGGACTCGGGGTCACCCAGCTGCTGGATGGATCCCGGCTTCCGGTCTGCACCACACAGAGTCGCTAAGCCCAACTCCACCTCTTCCCTCAGGGCGAGAGGCTGAGCCACGCGGTGGGCTGTGCTTTTGCGGCCTGCCTGGAGCGGAAACAGCGACGGGAGAAGGAATGCGGGGTCACGGCTGCCTTCGACGCCAGCCGCACCAGCTTCGCCCGCGAGGGCTCCTTCCGCCTGTCTGGGGGCGGGCGGCCGGCGGAGCGAGAGGCCCAGGACAAAAAGAAAGGTGGGTGCTGCCCGGCGGGCGTGGCGGGGCGTGGCGGGGCGTGGCGGGGCGTGGCGTCGGATGGGCCGGGGGTGTGGCTAAGGGATGGCCGGGGGTGTGGCTAAGGGATCCGGTTTGGGTGAGCAGAGCAGGGGTCCAGGGGCTCTACAGTTTACAAAGAAGAGGAGAAAACACACAAAACAAACCCCAAAACAAGCCACCCCCAAAAAGAAAAATAAAAACAAAGCAAGGCACCGACCACGAAGTCTGGTTACAGTTTCTGCAGCATTCTTGGGTTTAAGGAGTCCTTTGGGCAATATTCTACCGGCCACAAACCCTGGCAAAGCTCACCGAGCGCTTTATTATCTGCTAACCCAAGGAGGTTCCCAGGCTTTTCAAACTGTGTATCCACCCTGTTAATGGGTTGTCGAAGTCAAATTGCTGGGTTGTGGTTGGCATTTTAAGAAATAAAATGGAAAACGACAGAAAAATATCAGCGTAGGGGAATGTAATAAGGGTAAGTGTAGTTATGTGCTTTTATGTCAGTGGGTCTATGTGCGTGGTGGGGGAGGGGGGCGGGTTGCCAGGTAAAAAGTATTTCTTACTGTGGATTGCTGTCATGAAAGTTGGAAAAATACCTGGCAGGCTTTAACATTCTAGGTCAAAGGCAAACAGTTTGTAAGTTCTCAAACTGTGTTTTTTAAATATTTGAGTGTATTATGTGTTGGGTCAAAACATAATTTTTTATTTTTTTTTACTGTGGATTTTAGTTTTTAAATTTTTGGAAAACACTGCTTAGAATTACAAAGAATTTACCATTGGGATTCAGGATAAAGGAGACTGAAGAGATTTGACAGATATTATTAATAAAAAATGCAATGTTCGATCGTGTATTGGATCCTGGATATTATATAAATATATGTATTCAATGTTCAATTCAATATATATTTTTTGAATATATATGTGTTGAAATATATATTAATATCCATAAAGAATATGAGTAGGAAGAAGTTGGAATGTGGACTCTAGGTTACCTAATGGTATCATATCCATGTTTAATTCCCAAAGTGAGAAGTTATACTGTGATAAAATTCTTTACAAATTATCTATTTTACATATAGTAGTATGTATCTGTTAGTCTCAAACTCCTAATTTATCCCACCTCCCACTTGCCCTTTGGTAACTATAGGCTTGTTTTCTGTGTCTGTGAGTCTATTTCGATGTCTGTTTGGGTTTTTTCCTAATTTTACTTATTTATTTATATTTGGCTGTGCTGTCTTCTTTGTTACCTGGGCTTTTCTCTAGTTGCAGCAAGCGGGGGCTTCTCATTGTGGTGGCTTCTCTTGTTGCAGTGCAGGCTTTAAAGCTTGAGGGCTTCCATATTTGGAGCAAGAGGGCTCACTAGTTTCTGCTCCTGGGCTCTAGAGCACAGGCTCAACAGTTGTGGCACATGGACTTAGCTGCTCTGTGGCATGTGGGATCTTCCCAGATCAGGGATGGAAACTCTATCTCCCGTGTTGGCAGGCAGATTCACTGAGCCACAGGGGAAGTCCTATTTCTGTTTTGTAAATAAGTTCATTTGTATCATTTTTTTAGATCCCACATATAAGTGACATCTTTGATATTTGTCTTTCTCTGTCTGACTTGCCTCACTTAATATGATCATCTCTAAGACCATTCATGTTGCTGTAAATGGCATTATTTCATTCCTTTTTATGGCTAAGTAATATTCCATTATATATATATATATATATATATATACACACATATATATACACCACATATTCTTTATCCATTCATCTGTCAATGGACAGATGGTTGTTTCCATGTCTTGGCTGTTGTGTGCAACTTAAATGTTACAGAAAGACAATTATGGAAGGAGAGACAGATCAAATACCGTAACAAGTTAATGCTGGGGAACTTTGGTTAAGAGAACCTGTGTTCTCTGTGTTCCATTTTTACATCTTTTCTGTAAGCTTAAAACATTTCTAGCTAAAAAGTTTAGGAAAACAAGTTTTTATCACTTGCTGTAATATTCAGGTTTACAACATCTGTTTTTCTTGGTAAATTATGGGACCGCTTACAAACCTCTTGACAAATTTAAAGATTTCTTCACAGCTTACAAAATATTTTCTGTTTACATCATCTATCAGAATTTGTAAAGAACAGTGGCAAAACAGATTACAAAGTATAGTTAACAGACGGCCTGAATATAGATATTTTATTGTTTGCAAAAGAACACACTGGGTGGGTAAGTTTACTACTTATATAGGATATTAGAATTTACCAAGAATATCATGTGCTTTAGAGTTTGCAATGGATTTTGCTGTTTCCATCCAAAGGATACTGTAATTTCCAGGTAGAAAGCATTTTAGAGTTTGCACCGCAAAAATGAGAGTTTACAAAGTGTGGTATATGATTTGCTGAACACATCACCATGTTTTGCCCGATGATGCACTGATTCACAGTCTAGAGGCACCACACATCTACAAAAGAGCTCTCTTCAATTTAGGAGAACAGTGCCCTTTCCACAAAGTTGTTTACCAAGCTTTTGTGGGATTCCAGAGCAATTGAACATTCACTGTCTCAACTGAGGCTCTCAGGAGGCCTGGGGAGGCAGCAGGGAGATGTTTATTCCAGGTTCAGTTGGGGAACCTGCAGCCCAGGGATAGGAGGAGACTTTCTGAGGCCCCAGGTGGTGGGGGCAGAAGTGGTTTAGTGGCTCTAACGCATCCCAGCCTGGTTCCACTGCCCCAAGTCTGACCTTGGGGGAGGGCCTCATCGCCCCCTCGTGGACGATGGGAGAAGCGCTGGGCAGCCTCCCTGCCTTCCTTGTGCTTAGTCCAGGGGATCTTCCGACCCAGGGATCAAACCCGCGACTCATATCTCCTGCGTTGGCAGGCAGGTTTTTTACCACTAGTGCCACCTGGGAAGCCCCTGAGTTTAACCTCACTAGCACTCATCTTCCCCGGTGGCTCAGACAGTAAAGAATCTGCCTACAATGCGGGAGACCTAGGTTCAATTTCTGGGTCGGTTAGATCCCCTGGAGGAGGGCACGGCAACCCACTCCAGTGTTCTTACCTGGAGAATCTCCATGGACAGAGGAGCCTGGCAGGCTACAGTCCCTGGGGTCACAAAGAGTCAGACATAACAGTGACTAAGCACACACACACAGCACTCAGGCTATGGCTCAGGTGAGCCCACGTGGGAGGATGGTTGCGTGTTTGTGTATAGGCAGCCATTTTGTGCTGAGTGGGGAGACCGGGTGCCCACAGAGGACAAAGCGCAGCCCCAGAGGGGAGCGATCCCAAGCTGAGGGATTGAAACAATCTGGAAAACTCCTCAGAGGAAGTGTGCCAAGCTGGGTCTAGAACAATGGGTAGCAACTGAAGGAATGGAGGAGGTACTTGAGGCGGGAAGAATGGTGGGAGGCAGACAAAGAACAGAGCAGATGGAATGACGGAGGATGACAGCATCACGTGGAGAGAGCAGGCCAGAGGAAGAGGCAGGTTAGCACAGTCGTTTGGAGCTCAGATTGTGGAATCAGCCCACCCCTTCCTTCTCAGTGTGGCTCAGGCAAGTCTCTTGCCATTGCTGGGCCTCAGTTACCACATCTGTAAAATGGGGTAAAATAGTTTCGACCTCATTGGGTGGTGGTGAGGATTGAATGAGTTCATCCTTTCAAGGCACTTGGAACAATGCCTGATACATTGGTCACGCACCAAAGAAGTGTTTGTTAAATTGATTAGAAAGGGAGACAGGAGATCTCAGAGGGAGAAACAGCACAAGCAGCAGAGGAAGATGGATGGAGGACAGAAAGCTTGAGACACACAGAGGGTCAGGTTGGGTGATGACTCCGCATCGGCCTCCTGGGGAAAGTGGTCTTGGCTTGAGTGGGGATGAGGGACATTTCAGGGCTCTGACGAGCTTGTCTTAAGGCCAGAGCACATGGGGTGAGGAAGGCAGCGTTGGAAAACAATCAAGGGGACTGCGGAGAGGCCCCAATGCCAAGGGGAGGTATCTAACCATCTCTCTCTCCCATGTCTCTAGCAGAAGCAGCAGCTGCCCCAACTGCGGCTCCTGGCCCTGCCCAGCCTGGGCACGTGTCTCCAACACCGGCCACCACATCCCCTGGTGAGAAGGGTGAGGCAGGCACCCCAGTGGCTGCAGGCACCACTGCAGCTGCCATCCCCCGGCGCCATGCCCCCCTGGAGCAGCTGGTTCGCCAGGGTTCCTTCCGTGGGTTCCCAGCACTTAGCCAGAAGAACTCGCCTTTCAAACGGCAGCTGAGCCTACGGCTGAATGAGCTGCCATCCACGCTGCAGCGCCGCACTGACTTCCAGGTGAAGGGCACAGGTGAGCCCAGGACTCAGCAAGAAGGAACATTGGGATCTATGCCCCTGACTGTTGTGAGCAAGAGATAAGGAAGAGGTGGTACACATCACGATTGATTAGCACAGTCTGCCACAGGCAAAGGAAAGGTGGAACGCATCATGATCAATTAGCAATATCTGCCATCAGTCTGGGCTAGGAGAGAGGTAGTGTAAGCTGTGAGCCATTAGCAAAGTCTGCTCTGGTAAGGGATCGCACAAAGGTGGCTCAAGTCATGATCAATTAGTGCTGTCTGCCATAGTTAGGGACAGGAGAGAGGTGGTGTACATCATGATTGACGAGCAAGCAAAACTTCCGTGGGCAGGGCAGAGGAGAGCAGCTGGGCCCGGATGCCATGCTGTTGCTCAGGAGGAGACTGAAGCACCATAGGCTAATGCTCCCTTCCAAGCTTTTGCCCATTAGAGCCATGAGATACAGGTGAAGGATACAGGTTCAGAGCAATGCCTGTTTAGGGCAGGGAGAACTGAGTGATGACGGACATTACGGTCTCCTTACAGTGTCTGGCATGAACAAGAAAAGAGACTAAGGTGGCACACCACGTGATTAATTACCAAAATTTGCTGTGGGCAAGCAAGAAGAGAGAGCAGGAGTATTACATTTTGCTCAAGAGATGACTCCCAGAATTTGGCTTATGGAAGCAGAAGACGAAGGGCACAAGTAGTCTGGGGATCATGGAATCAGGGAGCACAGTGACGAATTCGTCATGTTGCTTGTGGATAAAGGACTGTGGGAGGCAGCACCCATGTATTGATTAGACATGCCTTCCTAGGAGAGTGACAAGGCAAAAGGAAGTATGTCATCATTGATTAGCAATGTCTGCCACGCTGGTGATAGGAGAGAGCCAATAAAAATGCCCTTTTATGTTGGAGGAAAGATGGCATTACCAGTCCTTTCTTCCAGCATTTGGCCAGTAGAGCCACGAGGTCTGGCCGGGTGAGGGGTAAAGTGAGCAAAGAGTTTCACGGGAGAAAAGCATCGTGTTTGATTACTAATGTCTGCCGTGAACCAGGAAGGGGAGAGACATGGCATATGTCATGATTTAAAAACAACGTCTGCCATGGGGAAGAGAGAAGAGAGGTGGCGTGGAACTATGTTTTGCCCGAGGGAAACAGGCAGGAGGGCTGCCTTTCCTCCCAGCTGTCAGTGAAGTCATGCGGTCTGGCTCGCTCTCCTGTTCCCAAATGCCAGATCTGTGACACCTCCCCCTTATGGCCCCGGGGATTGGTGTGGGAGTGTTGATCTGTATCCAGGAGGCTGGGCTAGTCCACAAGGTGACTGCAGAGCAGGTGCCAACGCTTGCTGGGAATGACGCATGCTCACTCCATACCCTGCAGCTCACTCCCGTGTCCTGCACACACCCTTGCATCTGCTGTCCTCATTAAGCAGCCTGCCAGTAAGCACACCCCCAGGGCGCTCACATCTGCTCTCTGAGGGGGCAGACACCCCAGGCTTTATGTGGAGGCCTCGCACGCCTGTAGCCACTTGCTTGGATGTGACTTGCCACCCAGAAATTGCATAGACTCACACAGATGTCCCAGTCTGCTGTGGGTGTCACGGTCGGAAGTCACACAGTGAGAGAGAGGAGCAAACGAAAATCACATACACACACAGAAGTTGCAGAACCAGGTGTGACCATTACACACACTTAGAAAACACATACCCAATACCAACTATTATATATAAAATAGGTAACCAAGGCCCTACTGTATAGCACAGGAAACTATTTAATATATTCAATACCCAGTAATAAACCATAATGGAAAAGAATATGAAAGCGAATACACACACACACACATGTATATATGTACAGATGTATGTATAACTGAATCACTTTGCTGTCACATACTCCTGGCTCTTGTACCACTCAGGTGTGACACACACACGCATGCAGTTATTTTTGTGGCCATGGCCACTTAGTTACGGCAGAGTGAATCCATCAACGCACACACCTTGTGAGGGCCACCCACAGGGCTGGGGTCAAGGGCAGAGCCTGGGCCTGTTCGCTGACCTCCACCGTTTCCTGACTTCCCAGTGCCTGAGATGGAGCCGCCTGGTGCCGGCGACAGCGACAGCATCAGTGCCCTGTGCACGCAGATCAGCTCATCGTTCGCCAGTGCTGGAGCCCCAGCATCAGGGCCACCGCCAGCCTCGACAGGTAAACTCTGGCCTTCTCCTGAGGCAGATGCCCTGCAGTGCTGCTCCTGCATCCCCCTGCTCCTTTCAGGCCCACTGCAGAGACTCTGGGAATCTTGGAATCCCACAAGCTTGGATGGAACTCTGGGTCATCTAAGAGCTATGAGATTACCACAGAAACATGTATCATTCAATATCATCCTAAAATCATGGAGTCAATCACTGTAGAACCATGGAATCATCTTAGAACCATGGATCATTTAAGAGCTATGAATCATCGTAGAATCATGGAATCTACCACTTTAGAACCATGCACCATCTTAGAACCACAAGGTCATCTCAGGGACATGAATTCATCCTAGAACCATGAAATAACATAAGAATTATGGGATTAGAACTTTAGAACTGTGGGATCAATGTTTAAACCTTCCTGTCTTAGAACTGTAACATCTAGACACCTACAGTCTTTGAATCACAAGATATTAGAGCCTAATAGATTTGGAGCCACAAAAACTTGGAATCTCACAGCCTTGAAAGCCAGCTCTCTGAGAAAATAATGCCACGCAATCCTCCTCGAGCCAAATGCTTATTCCAGAACTGGGGAAGCACCTTGGAATTCCAAACAATGTAAATCTCTAGAATCTTCAAAAACACAAAACTACTGAAACTTACCCACCATGTTAGAATAGTACATACTGAGAAAGAGCCATGAGATCTTAGAATCTTAGCCTTCTGAAACAATACTGTCAAAATATTAGAGCCAAGGGTAATATTGGAAAGTATTTAATAACAGGTTTGTTACTGACCAACCAAAAGGGAAGCCAGCCTGTGTGATTGTCACCCTTGCCTATATTTTTTCATCTCAGGACCTTAGCATCTCAGAACTGAATTTTCTGAGCGCTGTATGACCTTATGTGGTTCAGGAGGGGTCAAGTCATTTGTCCAAAGTCCGTGAAGTTAATGAGGAGCCAGGCTAGAGGCAAGGCAAGCAGCCTGGTGCAGAGTCTGGTCGCCAACCTGGGGTTCTCTCTGCTGCAGCCCACGCCCCCTAACTGCCCCTCTTCTCTCTCCAGGGACTTCTGCCTGGGGTGAGCCCGCCGTGCCCCCTGCAGCTGCCTTCCAGCCTGGGCACAAGCGGACCCCTTCAGAGGCTGAGAGGTGGCTGGAGGAAGTGTCCCAAGTGGCAAAGGCGCAGCAGCAGCAGCAGCAGCAGCAGCAGCAGGCGGCCCCAGTGCCCACTGTGCACCCCAGCCTGCAGCCCTTCCCTGCCCCCGTGGGGCCCTTCGACGCCACACCTGCCCAGGTGGCTGTGTTCCTGCCGGCCCCGCACATGCAGCCCCCGTTTGTGCCCGCCTACCCTGGCTTGGGCTACCCGCCCATGCCCCGCGTGCCCGTGGTGGGCATCACCCCCTCACAGATGGTGGCCAACGCCTTCTGCTCAGCCGAGCAGCAGCAGCAGCAGCAGCAGCAGCAGCAGGCGGCCCCAGTGCCCACTGTGCACCCCGGCCTGCAGCCCTTCCCTGCCCCTGTGGGGCCCTTCGACGCCACACCTGCCCAGGTGGCCGTGTTCCTGCCGGCCCCGCACATGCAGCCCCCGTTTGTGCCCGCCTACCCTGGCTTGGGCTATCCGCCCATGCCCCGCGTGCCCGTGGTGGGCATCACCCCCTCACAGATGGTGGCCAACGCCTTCTGCTCAGCCGCTCAGCTCCAGCCCCAGCCCGCCACCCTGCTCGGCAAAGCTGGGGCCTTCCCACCCCCTGCCACCCCCAGCGCCCCTGGGGGCCAGGCCCGTCCACGCCCCAATGGGGCGCCCTGGCCCCCGGAGCCGGCACCGGCCCCGGCCGCTGAGTTGGACCCCTTTGAGGCCCAGTGGGCAGCGTTAGAAGGCAAACCTGCTGTGGAGAAGCCTTCCAACCCCTTCTCGGGCGACCTGCAGAAGACCTTCGAGATTGAACTGTAGCCCGAGCCGCCCTGCCCACCCCTCATCTCCCGGTGTCCCACTCCTCGGAGTGGAGGCCCAGCCTCTCCCCTAGTCCTGCTCCCTCCCATGGCCCCTCTAACCCCTTCTCTCGACCACCTCCCACAACCACTATGGAACTGACATTGTGACGCCCAGGTTGCAACGGGATGGAATTCAGGGACGGACCCAGCCTGGCTAAGGGACCCATTTCTCTGCCAGACTTAGGCTGACACAACCTCCTCTCCCCTCACTCCAGACACAGGGGGATGGCCACAGTCCCACTGAGCGCCTTGGTTCGAGCTACATTTCCCTGTTTCTGTTGTTGACCTTCTCTACCTTCCAGTGTTGGGTGGGATGGAGGTGGGATACCCACCTAGGGGCCCTCGCGGGCCCCACACGAGTGCCCACCCCCAGGTCTGATCATCCCACCCCCATACACAGCACAAGCGAAGGGCTTCCTTCTGCCCACCTGCTGCGTTCACTGCCAATGCTGTGCCCACCCCTCCCCTCCCCTCGGGGGCCCGCCTCTTCTTTGGACCAAGGTCTCAAGGGGATAGGGGGCCAAGTTGGGGGGCCAGGAGGTGGGGTAGGGGGAAGGGGAAAGGGAAGAAGAAGAAGCTCAGTTACCTCACGTTGGTGCCCGCTGGGGAGGGGTTCCAGGAAGAAGGAAGGGGTGCCTGGCGGGTACTTTTCTATCTTTTATTTCCAGATTTTTTTGTATCTAAACTTGCAGATTTGTATTATACAAGGACAACCAATAAAGGAAGAATATAATGGTGCCCCTCGAGAAAGCAGGGTGTGTATCCAGGGGAGACGGTGTGGAGACCGAGCCTTTCTTCTGTCATCTAAAACCAAAGGGAGTAAAAAGGATCTCCCTGTGTACTAACCTCTGAGTCATAGCATGGTAGCAGGTAACCCAGGACTCAGGAAGTGGGTATTAGTGGGCACCCCAAATTAATCACCCCATTTCTAATTCTTACAGATTTTGAACCAAGGAATTATGTATATATATGTGTGTGTGTGTGTGTGTGTGTGTGTGTGTATATAATCCGCTGCTAATAAGTTTAGTATTAATATTTTAAATAATTAGGTTTGGAAGCACAGCTTTGAGCTGACTGCATGTTCCACCAATTGCATTTTCTGTAACATAGGCCAAAGTGTCATTTGACATGGCAGCACGTTTTTAAGTTTCTCTGTTGTTTCCTGGGTTCCTTGATAACAATCTACAAAGTCATATATTTAAAAATACGTACTATATAGATGACATGTTCAATCCTTTATAACTCTTTAAAATGAGGAGGCTGGTCTCAAGAAACCCAACCCCATATCCCCATTTGATAAATCAGGAAATTGAGTCACTTATCCAAGGTCACACATCTGACTAGTGGGGGAGCTGGGATTCAAGTCCAGCTTCTGGTTGACCTCAAGGCCAGTCATTCAACCACCAGGCTGTGAGGGGAGAAGCCTAGGATCTGCCCTCAAGGGTTTACATTACAGCCCATCAACCAGCTGGATCCTGGACTAGGGGACCTGTGACAGATGGTCTTCCTGGGCACCAAAGAGGGTTCCTAGGGAGCAAGCAAAGGACTCTGCTCAGAAGGAGCTGTGCTTCAAGCCTTTGCAAATGCCATTTCTTCTGCCTGCAATACCCTTTCCTGACACTGCACCTTCTCCAGGAAGAATGCTACTCATTCCTTTTAAAACCTTTTTTGCAGTTTGCTTTACTTTGGGGCTTCCCTGGTGGCTCAGTAAAGAATCTGCCTGTAATACAGGAAACCTGGGTTCAATCCTTGGGTCTGGAAGACTTCCTGGAGAAGGGAATGGCCACCCACTCCAGTATCCTTGCCTGGGAAATCCCACGGACAGAGGAGCCTGGCGGTCTACAGCCCATGAGGTCACAAAGAGTCGGACACGACTGAGTGACTAACACTTGCTTTATTTTCCCCTAATAATAAAATGTCCTGGATATGCCCTTTCATATCGATGAATCAGATATAAATCCGTGTCAGCTCTCGGTTAACAGTTCACAGGACGCTACTCATTCTTCAGGCCTCAGTTCAAAGATCTTTTTTGTAGAGGTGGAACCTCTTCAAGGCCCCGCCCCCACCCAATCCTTTCAAAACTCCCTCACCCTCCAGGGCAAGTCTAGAGCGCTCAGTCTCCAGTTGGGTCCTCCGGGGCCCTGAGCGTCCCCCCTCCTGGCCCTAACTCCTCTCCGTTTCTCCCAGACCAGGCCCGACCCGCTCTGCTCTGTCACTATCTGATCTCCCACTGGACTATGGGTGAGGGATGGGTCTGGGGCTGTTTTGGTCATTTTGATGTCCGGGCACAAGGCCAGGCCCAGAAAAGGCCATTTCAGCAATTCACCTCTACAAACCACGGGCGAGTGAGAGGGGCAGAAAGAGCCTAGGACTCGGAGGTGATTCGAATTATTGGTATGATGGGGAAACAGGCCACTTAGCACACAGAAAATCAAGGACAGAGTCAAGACCGTCGTCTCCCGTGCCAGAGGCCGATCTTTACAGAAAACCATTCTTCGCTGTGCCCAAAGCAGTCTTTCTCAGACGCCCTCCCTCTGCACGCGCGGGCTCGCGCGCACACACACGAACCCCCTCCCCCCAATCCCCGCTGAAGCAGCTGTGGAGTTCCACGGACCCGTTATCTCCCAAAGACCTCCCACGGCCTCCTCTTTGCCAGTTTCCCCAAGGAAGACTCTCTCAGAATAGACCCAGGGACGCGGAGTTAGCGCCACCGCCCTCCCCAGTGACCTCGTCCCACCTAACACCACGTGATGCATCCCCCCCACCCCACGCCCGCATCGAGGTCATCTTTGGGGAGACGTGCAGCTCAGGCTGCTTGAGCGCCCCCTTCCCTATTCTCTTTGGAAAGCTCCTCCCCCCCAAACCCAAACCCCCGCCCCGGCGCCTCCTCTCCAGGAACCTTCGGCAGCGGCCAGGGCTATTTTGGGAAATTCCACGCCAGACTGCGCTTAGCGCCGGGCCGCCCCCTTCTCGGAGCGCCTCCGAAAGCCGCTCGCTGCGCCGCGGGCTCCGGCGCAGGACCGAGAGCGGCCCTCCGCTCCGCTGACGATCAGCGGCTCCCCAGGGCTGCTTCCGCCACCCTACGAAGGGGACACGCGTCGCCCTTCGGAAACCTTTCCCCCGACACACAACCCCCATCTCCCCGCTCCGCCCTGAACGCGCCGCTCCCGTCTCCGGCTCCTGCAAGGCCAAGGCGACCACGGTAGATTCTCCCAGAGCGCAATAGAACAGCGCCCCCTTGTGGCCCTGTCCTGCGGAACTCGCGGAAGGGCCGGATTAGTGGAGAGACCCGCCCGACCCGTGCTAAGGTTTTAACAGGAAAAGTGCTTAAGGAAAACAGCAAAACCCAAAACACTAGTGTCACGGTCACGGACAACATGATCCTTTAGGGTCTGGCTCAGTCGTTCATTCCGCCAGGAAGTCGTCTCTGACTTCTCATTTGAATCTCCTGCAGTCACTTAGGCTTCCCCCATCCCTGCCCTGACCCCTGTGCCTATGTCTCCCACCTCCGGGCCCCGAGCTCTGGGTGGTCTTAGTCAGCACCGTGTCCCCAGCATCGTCCAGGGCAGTACAGCGAAAGGCTCAGACGCCCTGCACCTCCTAGGGTGCCCATTCATTTACTCCCTCACACAGACGGTGCTTAGTTTTGGTGATGTGTAATCTACAGATCATAAAATCCACCTGTTTTAAGTGGGTGATGATTGTTTCTACAGAGTTATACAGCCATCGCCACAATCCAATTTTAGAGCATTTCTGTCAGCCAAAAAGGATCTCTCCTCTCGTGCCCTCTTTCAGTCCATTCCCATTCTGGTTCCCAGCCTCAGCCCCAGGCAACCACTGATGACTTCCCATCATTATGTATTCTTCTCTTCATTTTACAAGCATTTTCGAAATGCTTGCTTCTATTAGGTATTGAGTGTTGAGGATACTTAATGACACACACAAGCTCTGCCTTCAGGGACCTCAGAGTCTTGTTGGGTCCCACGGCTAATGGGAAAATAGGTCTGGTCCCTCATTTCTTCCTTCAAAAATATGAATTGAACACTTGTGCCAGCTACTGTTCTAGACCCTGGGGATATAGCACTGGGGGTGGGGGGAGGAAAAACCTTGTTTTGCTGGAGCTGATATTCTAATGAGAGGATTTTAAAAATAAGTATATATGTGATATAATGGCTGGTGATGAAAAGTATTGTGAAGACAATAAACCAGGGGAGGAGGTAGCGATTTTTTTTTTTTTTTTTACCCACCACAAGGCTTGTGGGATCTTAGTTCCCTGACCAGGGATAGAATCTGGTTCCCATGCAGTGGAAGTGCAGAGTCCTAAACACTGCCAGGGAATTTCTAGTGGTTCAGTTTTACTTATTTATTGGCCCCTCTGCATGACATGTGGGATCTAGTTCCCTGACCAGGGATTGAACCAGAACCCCCTGCATTGGAAGCATGGAGTCTTAACCACTAGAGCACCAGAAAAGTCCCCCCAGGGGTTCGGTTTTTTTTTTAAGGGGTTCAGTTTTAAGAGTGATCAGGGAGAACCTCTCTAAGAAGAAAACATTTGATCAGGGACCTGACTGAAATGAAGGAGTCAAGCCTGTATCTGAGGGAACAATGTATAAACACTCCACCAACACTGTTTATATGCAAGAGACCCCCTCCAAGTCACAGATAACTGGATGAAAGGGGTAGCAATCCATCCAAAGGGGCGCTTTGGACATTTGGGGCTGAATTGTCCTGTACTCTGCAGTCTATTTGGCATACCTAACCATCCCAGGTTTATAAATGCCTTTAGAACAGGTCTCAAAGTTTGGTCCAGGGTACCCTGGGAGCTTCCCAGACCTTTTGTCCACAAAGTTAACATTATTTTCGTAATAATGCCAGGATGTTTTTTGGCCAGCCCACTGTCGTTTTCTCTTGAGTGTACAGTGGAGTTTTCCAGAAGCTCCAGAATGACATGTGATGATGTCATTGCTCTGCCAACTAACGGAATATGTGTTTGTGGATTCCTATATACTCAAAGTATCAGTTCTAAGTTCTAACACAGTGACTTGACATTCACAATAGTAAATATCAATAGTTATAACTTTTTTGGCAGAGCCATGTGGCATGTGGGATCTTGGTTCTCTGATCAGGGATCAAACTCTCGCCCCCTGCATTGGAAGCACAGAGTCTTAAACACTGGACTGTCAGGGACATCCTAGCCCATATAAATAAAAGCTCTTTGGGGTCCTCAACACTTTTAAGAGTGTAAAAGGGGCTTTGACATCAAAATTCCAGAACAGGGAAAGATGGGGGAAGGAATAGTTAGGGAGTTTGGGATGGACATGTATACGCTGCTTCATTTAAAATGGATAACCAATAATGACCTATTGTATAGCACATGGAACTCTGCTCAATGTTACATGGCTGCCTGGATGGGAGGGGAGTTTGGGGGAGAATGGATACATGTATAAGTATGGTTGAGTCTCTTCTCTGTTCACCTGAAACTCACAACATTGTTAATTGGCTATGCATGCGTGCATACTAAGTCACTTTGAGTTCAGTTCAGTCGCTCAGTCGTGTCCAACTCTCTGCGACCCCATGAACCACAGCACGCCAGGCTTCCCTGTCCATCACCAACTCCCAGAGTTTACCCAAACTCATGTCCATTGAATCAGTGATGCCATCAAACCATCTCATCCTCTGTCATCCCCTTCTCCTCCTGCCCTCAATCTTTCCCAGCATCAGGGNGCTTGTGCTTCTTCCAGCCCAG